TCGGCGGCCGCCCCCTCCCCCGCCCGCGCCCGCGCGCCCCTCTCCCTCCCCCTCTTCCCCCATCCCCGCCAACCCCCCCTCCCGCCGCGCGGATAAACGCCTCCCTCCTGCCCTTTATAGGAACCTCCGTTACAGTCACCTGCGCGTGGTTCAACCCGTCCACAAACTTCGCATTAGTCCATCACATGCACCCCGCGGACCTCCACGATCGTCCGATCATAAGCAGCAGCTGCCTCCTCTTCCGCGTCATACAATCCAATCTTAGAAAACAACCGGTTTCCCACGCGGATTGCGGCGATCCATTTCTGCTCCTGCGGGCCCCACTTCACGCCCTTGTAGATGGACGGACAGGATCGCGAGCGGAAGCTGCGGACGAAGGTCTTGCGCAGGTGCAGGTGGAAATCGTCCTTGGTCATTTGCTCTAACTCCAGCTTCTCGGCAGCGGATAGCCCGAAGTTGAGCACTGCTGACGTGCCTCGGAACTTGTAGGCCATCCTGGCATGGGCGCATACCGAGGGTAAGGAAGGGATAAGGTAGGAGGGAGGGAGGAACGTGTAGGCACACACATGAACACGTGAGGTGCAGGTGGACCGTGGAACCCGCCCTTGGTCAGGTATAGGCACACACATGAACACGTGAGCTTATCAGCTGCAGACGGACCCATACAGAGCACCATCTCCCACACGCCCTTGCCCTTGTTGTGCATCACTCCTGTTAACTCGACTGGTCGACTATTGAGTCGACTCAAAGTCTTCCCAGCTGCAGACGGACCCATACAGAGCACCACCTCCCACACGGCCCTTGTCCTTGTTGTGCATCACTCCTGTTAACTCGCCTGGACGACTATTGAGTCGACTCAAAGTCTTCCCAGCTGCAGACGGACCCATACAGAGCACCACCTCCCACACGCCCTTGTCCTTGTTTTGCATCACTCCTGTTAACTCGCCTGGGAAGCTGAAAACGCACCTGTCGTAGAGGCGTGCGGCCTCGTCTCCCAACAGCGTCCGTCCTCGGAGAAACGGTTTGGGGCCGATATAGAGAACCATCTCCCACACGCCCTTGTCCTTGTTGTGCATCACTCCCCAGCGGAGCTTGCCCGCCCACCCCGCCACCAGCTCGCTGCCTGCAAGCAGAGAGCAGAAGACGAAGAAGAAGAAGAAAAAAAAACACAAGACACGGGACGACAATTCATATTGATCACAAGTAGCGGACACGCACACACACCATCAGGACAAAGACCTAGATGAACGGATGGTATCCTAACGGACAGAGCGCCCAAGTAAACAAGAATTTCGTATAGATTGTTTAAAACAGTTTTAGACATGTTACCTGAAGGCAACTGGGTTGCAGCGACGATGGAAACCGACTTGGCGGATGCTCCTCCTGGGAAGGACAGAGAAAGGGGGGTGAGAATAAGTAGAAGTAACAAACAGGTTAACCATAATACTTGTGTTTCGTTATCATAACGAAAAGAAAGGGAGGCTAAGGGTTGCGAAGGAAAACGATAAAGGACGGCGTGAAGGGGGAAGGGGAGGGAGGGGGGCGGAGGGGGAAGAGGGGGGAAAAGAGATATTGCGATAACTGAACCATGTGGGTGATAGGGAGGGCAGCTGGGAAAGGAGAAGCCAAACAAACTAGACCATAAGTCACAACAGCTTCGTCGCACGCAACCTTCCATCTCGGCGACTCGCGACAGGATCACCGCGTCGCGCAGCCCCTCGAGGTCCATGAGCGTCTCGACTTTGATACACCCGCCGAAGATCATCGCGTTGGTGATCGCACGGTCGCCGTCGCGTCGCAGCAGCGCGCGATCGAACGGCCGCAGCGGCCACCTCCTCCGTCTTGCTCCGCTTGATCTTCCGCGTGATCCCCCCCATGTTCACCTGCGCCACCCATCCGCCATAGTCTTCGTACCAGCTCACGCCGATGTAATTCGAACTCCATCCTTTACGGAAGCTTAGATTAAAGTTGTCCTTTTTTATAATGGCGAGGAACTCGCGGTCGGAGAGAGCGTCTAGGGCTCGTTTCTCGGCGAGCGTGAGACCGAGATTGAGCGTCTCGGCGTTGCCGTGAACCTTGTAGGCGAACCTGCCGTGGATCGAAACGAAATAAACAACGGGATGCAGAGGCGAGAATATAAAGAGGAGAACGGTGAATGACGGTTTCGACGCGTGGAGGGACGGCAGAATACCACATGAGAGATAGAGTGCAGCAATAACTGTCGCGGTGGAATATCTAGTGCTAATGAGAATACAAGAATTGCCGCACTTGTCATAGAGCGACGCCGCCTCCTCTTGCGTCGGACGAACGCCCAGCACAACGGTCTTGCCGCGCGACGCGTACTTGACGAGCCAGCCGCGCACATGCTTCTGCACTCCCTTGTACTTGAGGCTCTGGTCGTCGCGGTCGAATAGTCTCTCGCGCGTGCCTTGCCGGCTGAAGGAAAAAATATACGAACAGAAAATAATAGTTGATATTAAAAATGAATGAAATCCGCGAACAGCTACACCGGCATATGCCAGCAGGAGTCGACAAGAGCTGATGGAAAGGTGTGAGAATTTCTAGCGAGGCGAATTTTTACCTCCCACCGAGCTTTGGCAATGGCTCCTCGGGAAGGCTCCACCCGTATGGTCCCCCTCGCATCATATTTGGGTGAGCTCACCAGCAGAATCAAGGGTAGAATTCAACAAGGTAATTTGGAAGTAGGCTAACTTGTGCTCATGGGGTCTATTGGGAAGTTGGGGAATTGCTGAGAGAAACAAGTTATGGAGAGATGTTGAAGGGGAGATGGACGAGAGAAACCCTACGAGAGAGGGTCTGTTGTGCGGCAGGTAGGGAGTAGAGATGAAGTGCCCCAGGACAGGACCTCGACTGGCTGGTGATTTGCCCTTCATGGGGTTTCATTATCCGGTCAGCGAAAATTACTTGCGAAGTCCTCAGAACTGGGTGTAGAAAACGGAGGTAGAGCTCAACTGGTTAGGAATATCAGTGTATTACTCGCACAGGGTCAACAACTATCAAATTGTTGATACACATTCTGTTATTGCTTCCTCTGGATGGCCCCGGAAAAACTTAGCTCTTCCTTTCTTTTCCCACCCATCAGGTTTCGGTTCAACGAGAGGGTGAGGCTGGTGGGCAGTCCTCGAAACCCTCGAAGTGAGGAGGAGTGTTATGGCCAGTCACACGAGAGTCTGTTGACAGTTCATGTACAGATGTTCAGCCTGTTATATTTCGTTTTCAAACGGTGAAGTGCGCAACTGCTCCAAGTTGCACAACATCGTACTTGACCGCTTCACTTCACAAAGATGAGCTCCTTTTGCGATGTGCGGAGGGCAACGGAGGAAGTAAGGACATAAAAGCCAGTGTGGGCAATTTGTCACCCCAAGGAATTACCGTTTTCATGTGTCAATCGACCAATCACGAAGTCATCATGTCGCAACTCTCCTTTCACGGGCACACAAAACTTCTCTAGCCATGAGTTTTCCCCCCTTTTTACTGGCTGCTTTTGAGGCTTTGATGGGCGGGGAATGTGGTCACCTTATCCCCTGGGGGATGGAAGTCCCCCAAAGTTGCGCCCAGGGGATAAGGTAACTCGCTTGGGGCAATTCCAGTTTCCACCTCACAACCCCAGCCTCGGGTTCAAACGATAACCTCCCTAAGTTAGCGGGAGTTGCGGCGCAAATCCTCGATCCCAGAAAAGCGGCTTCGACCAATCACACACGAGACGGAGCTCGAACCACAAGCGAAATACAGTGGCACAAATTACTCGGTAAAGATGAATCAGTAACGGAATACAAAAAAGTACTGAATTATGACTACATCGAGGCATTCACATGAATGTACATATTAGACCAATTCCTACAAAAAAATCCATCTACACGAAGTGCAAGGCCGACACATGAACCGTCCACACTCCCCACCATGCAACCTCAAGGCTGCTTGGCGGGAAATTATCAACAAAGATACACATGCAACGCAACCAACCACCCTCTCAAGCCTCCACACCATCAGCCTTATATGCAGGAAAAACCCATCCGCATCCCATACACTCACATCAACCTTCTAGACACAATGCACAGCACATGTACCATACCACAACAACCAACCACAGCAGTCAATCCAGCTCAAGGCTCAACCAACCACAGAGGAGTTCATCATGCCGCCAGCCTGTCCGGCCGCCCCTCCTGCACCACTAGAAACCGAGCCGCCGGACCTTGAACCCATCCCTGCAACGTTCCCTCCACCGGAAAAGCCTGCACCAGTGAAACCTCCCCCAGCTGGTCCTGAGTAGGAGGGTGCCATCACCCGCTCTCTCTCTGCCCGAGATTGCATACGGCCTGAGGGGAGGGAGTGGTGGAGGGATACATGGAGGGAGTGGGACAGAAAACGTAGGACACAGAAGCAGGATGCTGAGAATTCTCGAGAGCAGCATACGAGATGCACGCGGTTGCACACCGACATGCACATGCTCACTTATGTGCCCGTGGAAACAGACTAACAAGCAGTGGCAAGTACAAACATGAACTGGAACAGCAGCCGCACACACTGTGTGTTCACACATGTAACATCAAAAGCACGGTGAGTGCAGACTTTGCAGTGCTGGTCTTGGCAAACATTGGGAGCACAGTTGTCAGGACCAGCACTGCAAAGTCTGCACTCACCGTGCACTCGATGTCACAAGTGAACACACAGTGTGACCGGCTGCTCTTCAAGTTCATTCAAGTTCATGTTTGTACGATAGGATGTAGGTGGCACCTACTTGCCACCTACATCCTATCCTAGTGATCTTAGGCTCACCTCCAGCGGCCAGAAGTTTCTCCACGCGTGCAACGATGTGCTTCCCATAGGTGAACTTCTTGAGTGTGTGCAGATGCACGCGAATGCGCCCCAGCACCATCTCCCTCTGCCCCTCGCTGCACGTTTCCAGGACCTTCTGCACCACGTAGTTGCCAAACTGATCTTTCATCATCGCCTGTGGAAGGAGGGGGAGAAAATGGAGGAGAGGGGTAGAGATGGGTGGAGATTGGGAGAGCACTGAGGGAATGACAGGGCATGAGAGCAAACAACTCTGCCCTTCTGCCCCTCGCTGCATGTCTCCAGCACCTTTTGAACGACATAGTTACCAAACGGTCCTTCATTACTAGTGTGCCCTGCTTTGCCCTAATGTACCCCACATACCTGCAGCGGCTCGTGCTCGTCTGTCCTTCCCAGCATTGCAGACAAGAGCAGCTGCTTCTGAGCCGGCCTGCCGTACTGCAGGCACTTCTCAATCACGTTGGATGCAGACTTGTGCTGGCAGCCCCTTGCATGCCACTTGTCACTAGTGTGCCCACATCGTGCCCATAACGCACCTGAAGAGGCTCGTTCTCATCCGTTCTCCCCAGCATCTCCGACAAGAGCAGCTGCTTCTGAGCCGGCCCGCCGTACTGCAGGCACTTCTCAATCACGTTGGATGCAAACTTGTGCTGGCAGCCCCTTGCATGCCACTTGTCACTAGTGTGCCCACATCGTGCCCATAACGCACCTGAAGAGGCTCGTTCTCATCCGTTCTCCCCAGCATCTCCGACAAGAGCAGCTGCTTCTGAGCCGGCCCGCCGTACTGCAGGCACTTCTCAATCACGTTGGATGCGAACTTGTGCTGGCTCATCGTCACTATCTGCCCCGCCAGCTTCGTTATAATCACGTTCCTCTCGTCCTCGCTCCCGTGCTCCAAGACGTGCTATTGAAAAGCACAGTACGGGGGAGAGTGGCGGACAAATGGTATGAGATCGGGACTAGGTAAGGATGGCGAGGGGATAAGGAGACCGGCAGGAGGAGAGGGGAGAAGAGGGAGGGAGAGGTAGAAGGATAGGCGGAGAAGGGGAAAACGACAGGAGATGCGTACTGCGCGTTGTGGTTGCCGTACTGGTCCTCTGCTAGGCCACAGGTAGACCATTGATGTCACCCAATGCCCCATAAAAACCCAACATGGAGTGGCCTCCACACAAAACCAGCAGCACCCATCTGCACCACACACAAGCTCAGCAGCACCCACCTGCACCACACACAAGCCCAGCAGCACCCACCTGCACCACACACAAGCCCAGCAGCACCCACCTGCACCACGTAGTTGCCGTACTGGTCCTGGGCTAGAGCACACGTTGACCGCATGATTTCATCCATCACTCCCCTCTGCTTCTGCTCCTCCGTGCAATGCTCTAGCACCCGCTGTGATACACAACAGGGATGAGGAGGAGAACATGAAGACATAAGAACAGGTGGACATAAGAACAGGTGGACATAAGAACAGGTGGACATAAGAACAGGTGGACATAAGAACAGGTGGACATAAGAACAGGTGGACATAAGAACAGGTGGACATAAGAACAGGTGGACATAAGCACAGGTGGACATAAGCACAGGTGGACATAAGCACAGGTGGACATAAGCACAGGTGGACATAAGCACACTACGGGCACAAGTAAACCGCATGATTTCATCCATCACGCCTCTCTGCTTCTGCTCCTCCGTGCAATGCTCCAGCACTCGCTGTGAGACAGAGGGGTTAAGGGTAGGAGCACACAGACAGACATGAGCACAGGTGGACATATGTGAAAGTGGATAAATGACTTGCATGGACAGCCTTAGGATTGCATGGACAGGGCCACGACTTGGCCGTAGAAGCTGTTTAAGATGGAGGCAATGCGGGCGGGCGTGCTGCTTGCTGGGGAGCGCACCTGCAGGAATTGACTTTTGAGTCGACATTGGGCAACCGTGCTCAATGTGCTCTCAAAAGTCAACCTGCAGGAAAGAGCACACTCTGAACGGCTCTCTTGTCACCTGGATAACTCTGCACCCATACGGGTGGGTTGAGAGCGCAACGACTTGGCCGTAGAAGCTGTTGACGATGGAGGCGATATGAGCGGGCGGCACACACTCGATGCACTTCTGAATGACATGATTGCCGTTCTGGTCGCGCACACACCGCATCACACTGCCCTCGAGTTCGGCTATGATCTCCAGTTGCTGCGGAAGAGGCAGAACCTCCAAGGCCTGATGGGGAGAGTATGGGGAACAGCAAGGGGAAGAAAGAGGATCAGAAACACCCCTGCTTGCCGTTCTGGTCGCGCACAGCGCCGCATCACACTGCCCTCCAGCTCTGCGATGATTTCAAGCTGCTGCGGCAGGGGGAGAACCTCCAGTGCCTGAAGGGGTAGGGAGCAGTGAGGGAGAAGGAGAGGGCTGAAATGACTAGTCGCAGTACTGATAGCTCACACACCGCATCACACCGCGTCACACCGCATCACATAGCATAGCATCACACTGCCTTCTAGCTCTGCGATGATCTCCAGCTGCTGCGGAAGAGGGAGCACCTCCAGTGCCTGTGGATATGGTATGGGGAACAGCAAGGGGAAGGAAGAAGATCAGAAACACACTGCTTGCACACACATACACCCCATCACACTGCCCTCTAGCTCGGGCACCCCTACAATCGACAACTCTCAAATGTCAATTACACATCCGCATCCCCAGAACCAGCACACATCCTTCCCTCTCCTCCTTTTTTCCCCCTTATGTTAATTGAGAATTCTCAAAAAACATACGCTCCTCCTTTTTTCCCCCTTCTCCCCTCCACCTTTGCCTCTCTTTCCCTCAACTCGTTCCCCTTCCCTCCCCACCTCTCCCTCTCCTTACACCCCTCTCCCACCTCTCACCTTCTGAATGATCCGGCACCCACACAACTGCAGCCCCAGCGCCGGCACATGCCCCTTCAGGCTCCACATTCAGCCCCTCAGCACCGCATCAAATCGCATCACACCACCACCTCTCACCTTCTGAATGACCCGGCAGCCATACATCTGCAGCCCCAGCGCCAGCACGTGCCCCTTGAGCTCCGCTGCCAGTGCAGCCCTGTGCGAGTCCAGGCCATGCTCGAAGAACTGCGGAGAAGAGAGAAGAGGGGTTTGAGTGGGGGCAGAGGGAAAGAGGGGTGAGGGGAAGAGGGATTGCGATATTACACTCAAAGCCAGCACACGCCCCTTTAGCTCCGCTGCTAGGCGAGTTTTGAGTCGACTCAAAAAGCGCCAGCACATGCCCCTTTAGCTCCGCTGCCAGTGCCGGCCTGTGCGAGTCCAGGCCATGCTCGAAGAACTGAGAGGGAGGGAAGGAGGACGAACAAAGCGCGGAGAGAAGAGGGGGAAGGACGAGGGGTGGGGAGGATGAGAGAGTGCAGACAGACATGCACGAGCAGCAGCACCTCACAGAACCTCACAGAACCCAAGCCGCTTCTCTCCTGCTCTCCTTATCTGCTCTGCATTTAACCCACTCCCCCCCCCCTCCCCTTCCTTCCCTTTTCCAACCTCCTCTGACCCCACACACGCACCGTCTGAATCACGTAGTTCACAAAGACGTCTGTCATGAGGGAGAGAGCGCGAGGCAGCACCTCACAGAGCACCGACTCTTTCACTCCTTCTCTCCTTCACTGCTCCCCCCTTACTCCCTCTCCCGCCCTCTATCCCCCCTTGACCCCACACACGCACCTTCTGAATCACGTAGTTCCCGAACACGTCCGTCATAAGGGAGAGAGCGCGCGGCAGCACCTCACAGAACACGAGCTCCTTCTCTGCATCCGTGGCCATCTCGAGCTTCTGCTGGATGAACCGCGACCCGTGCTGGTCAGCGCTGCGAGTGAGGGAAATAGGAAAACAACCGAAGCATGAAAAAGCAGAAACGGGTTGGTAACGCTCTGGCTAGCCCCTGCTGTGGGGGGGCCCACCTGTCCTCTCTTGACAGCGCCTCACAGAACACAAGCTCCTTCTCTTCTTCTCTGCATCCGTGGCCATCTCGAGCTTCTGCTGGATGAACCGACTGCCATGCTGGTCCGCACTGCACGTGAAGCAGACACAGATGAGCAAAAATAAAAGAGAGACACGAATAGCATGGGATTGGGGAAAGAGGTGGGTGAAGTTCTCTGCTGTGGCGGCACCTCACAGAACACGAGCTCTTTCTCTGCATCCATCCGCGGCCTCTGCTCCGCTCCTTCTCTCCTTCTCTGCATCCGTGGCCATCTCGAGCTTCTGCTGAATGAACCGCGACCCGTGCTGGTCCGCACTGGGAGACTGCAAGAGGGGAAAGAGAGACGAGAGAAGTGCTGAGAAGAGAAGAATGGGATAGGGAAAAGAGGTTACAGAGCACCTCTGAGCACCACTCAGCAGCATGTGAGCACCACTCAGCAGCATGTGAGCACCAGTCAGCAGCATGTGAGCACCAGTCAGCAGCATGTGAGCACCAGTCAGCAGCATGTGAGCACCAGTCAGCAGCATGTGAGCACCACTCAGCAGCATGTGAGCACCAGTCAGCAGCATGTGAGCACCAGTCAGCAGCATGTGAGCACCAGTCAGCAGCATGTGAGCACCAGTCAGCAGCATGTGAGCACCAGTCAGCAGCATGTGCGCACCACACACCAACACACCTGAACTCCACCACGTGCCCTGCAATGTCACACAGCGAGCACTCCAACACTCACCAATCACCAGCATCCCTGAACACCGCTCCGCACCCCTCAACACACCTGAACTCCACCACGTGCCCTGCAATGTCACACAGCTCATATCGCCTCGTCTTGTTTGCCTTAAACTCCTCCAAGAAACTCCCCGCTCCTCCTCCCCCTCCCCCTCCCCCTCCAGCCCCCCCTCCCCCTCCTCCTCCGCCTCCTCCTCCCCCTCCCCCACCACCGTTACCGCTGCCTCTGTTCCCTCCCCCGCCTCCTCCCCCTCCGCCTCCCCCTCCGCCCCCCCCTCCGCCACCCATCCTTTCAGATTCAGCCAGGTGAGAAGCATGGTGGTGGTGCTGCTGCTGATGCTGCTGATGCTGATGGTGGTGATGGTGCTGATGTTGATGCATATTGTGGCCTCTTCCCCCACCCCCTCCCCCAGGTGAGCCCCTCAGTCCCCCACCTGCTCCCCCCACACCGCTCATTCCGCCCATGGCGTAACCTCCCCCTTTTCCTCCGCCCCCTCCGCCTCCCCCTGCCCCTCCCCCCATCATGCTTCCCCCGCCCCCAACCCCAGCCGGCCCCATCCCTCCCCCCAGCCCTCCTTCAGCCAATAGCATCGATTCGTACAGATTCGCATGGTGCCCGTGCTGGTGATGCTGACTCAGCATGCTGCCCTGCTGATGTGGCAACATGCCAGCTGGCACCACTCCTCCGCCCGCCCCTCCCCCACTAGCAGGAGATAAAGGCGGGTAGGTCATCACAGGGAGGAAGCTTCCTGGAGGGCTTCCATAGTACATCGGAGGGTTGTTGTTGTTGCCGCCGAGCGGAGCGCCAGCTGGCAGGCCGGCGGCGCGGGATCGCGCCACGTCAGCAGGTATCCCCAATGGCTGGCTGCCCCCGGGGAGATAAGCAGAGGGACCCGACCCCATACCCATACCCATGCCCATCCCCATACCCATGTTCATACCCATGCCCATTCCTCCTACTGCTGCTGCAGCAGCGGCAAGCCCACTAGCACTAGTGCCCCCACCACCATTACCACCACCACCACCGCCACCACCACCAGTCATACCCCCTCCCATACCTCCTCCCCCGGTAAACCCTCCACTAGATAAGCCTCCCCCGCCCCCGGACACACCCAGCCCAGATAAACCTGCAAGGATCTGTGCTCTGTACTGCGGGTGCATGGCTAGTAGGTGCTGCACTTCAGGGGGTAACATTGAATCAGCAGCACCCCCCATATTAGCGCCCCCCATATTAGCACCAGTGTTACCACCAGTACCCGTGCCCACACCAGCAGTTGTACCTTCCCCTGATGCTGCCGCCCCGACCCGCCTCACCCCGCCGCCCGCACTCACTGACCGCCCAATGCCACTGTTCATGCCAGCTGGACCGGCGCCCCCACCGCCAGCACCGCCAGCGGCGAACTGGGCGGCTTCGCTTGGCAGATAGTGCTGCGCGTTGGCGTCTAGTGAAACAGTACCCCCACCACCATCACCACCACCCCCACCCGCTCCTGCAGTAGCAGCAGCAGCGCCACCACCCCCACCACCACCACCACCCCCACCTGCTCCCCCTGACAGATAAAACCCGTTTACAGCCCCTCCAGATAAACCTCCCCCGGGCAAGACTCCCCCTGCTCCGCCAGGGGGAAGCGCGTGGGGGAAGCCAGGCGCGCCTGCCCCGCCAGCAAGGTGCGGGGGCAGGAAGGGGGAACCGGCGGAACTGGCGGAACCCGGCGGAAGGGGGAGGGATTCGTGTAGGAAGGTTGGGTAAGGGGGAGACCCTACCACGAACGATGCTGCGCCTGCTGCAGCGGCGGCGGCGGCGGCGGCGGCGGAGGTGGGGGGGTTGGTTGTGGAGGAAGGAGGGAGGTATTGGAGATACGCTGGGTGGAGTGACCAATGAGGGGCTCCTTGAACCATGTTCTGCTGTTGCTGCTGATGCTGCTGCAATAAGTGCTGCTGCTGATCCTTCTCCTGTTGCTGCTGTTGCTGCTGCTGATACTGCTGCTGCAGTTGCTGCTGCATCTGCATCTGCTGCTGCTGCTGCTGCTGTTGCTGCTGCCCTTCCGCCAATCGCAGCCCTTCAATCGCCGATGCCAGCTCAGCAGCGCTAGCCTGTCCCATTCCCCCTTCCCCCTGCCCGCCCATCATCCCAGGACTAGCCGCCCGCGCAAACACCCCCGCGCCAGCCCCTCCCCTCCCCCCTCCGCCCGCCCCCCCCCAAGCCTCCCTCCCCACCGCCCAAACCCAGACCTACTCCAAAGGCTGGGGACTGCGCCCGAGGCAGACCCGCAGGTTTGGCAGCCGAAGCTGCCTGAGCCGCTGCTAGCTGCATCGCCAGTCCCGGGCTAACCCTCCCCGCGACCAATCCGGGGGGGATAAGCGGAGTCCCCGAACGCGACCCTGCGCCAAGGAGCGGCGGAACGCTACTCGCGCCCCCTCCGCGCGTGTTCCCCGCGCCCCTTCCCCCCCCTCCGCCTGCGCCTCCGCCCGCCTGCAGCCCCGCGGTGAGCAGCGCGAGCTCGTGCCTGTGCGCGTCGTCAAGCTGCAGAGACGAGCGCGGGCGCCGCGGAAGGTCATTGGCGGAAGCGCTGAGGAAAGACGGCACCGCGGCGGCGGCAGCAGCGGCGGCGGCGGTGGCGGCGTCCGCGGAATCGTCCGCGCCTGAGCGGCTGGCTGCGCGCTGAAGCGCGAAGATGGGGGAGGGCGTGCGGGGAAAGTCCTCCTGCAGAGCCGGGAACGGGGACGAGGTACGCGGAAGGTAAGGCGCGGGAGAATAGATCAAGACTTAACCACAACATATTCAACAGTAAATACGCGTTATTGTGAGGGTACATTACTTGAGAGGCTAGAGGCTAACAAGGCAGGCTAAACGTACAACTAACCTGAATAAGATCCACGAGGCTCTTAGGCCGATACGCCAACCCCGCAAATCCTCCGGCCCCAACGCCCGCTGCGCCCCATCTGTCTGCCACACCCTCGCCCCTCTCCGCGCCAGCTCCCCCCGCCCCACCGCCTCCGCCTCCGCCGGCGCTTGCGCTTGTGCCGGTGCCCTGCGCGCTCCCGTCGCCGCTGTCATTTCCCCCCGAAGTAAGCACATCCTCTAACAGACTCTCCATCTCCTCCCGATGAGTGGGGAGCGTGGTCGGCGGAAACAACAGATTGGACGACGAGGATCGCCCCGTTCGCAATCCATGCCCATCATCGAACGGTCGTAGCGAGCCCATCCCCGCGCCATCCTCCCCAAACGCCCCCGCGATACCGTCTTGACCAAGCCCCGCGCGGATCTCATACCCCCCCCCGCCCCCTTGCGCATACCCCCCTCCGCCGCTTTCCGTGCCTTCTCCGCCGCCGAGGAACTTCGACGCACCCTCTCCGCCGAGCCCTAGCGCGGCGGAAGACTGTAACCGTTGCGCCAGGCGGTAAGTATCTCGGGAAATAAGCGGCGGCGGAAGGCGGGGGTTTAAGTGGTGGTTGCGGTAATAGTACTCCAAATAACCCGGATCAGCTCTTAAAGCCTCCTCGTCCTGCAATCGATCTAGAAGCTTCCGCGCGTCCCGCTGCTTCTGCAGCTGCTGCTGCTGTTGGATCTGCAGCTGAAGCTGTTGCTGCTGCTGAAGCTGAATCGCAGCGGCTGCTCCGCCACCGCCGCCGCCGCCGCCGTCAGCCCCGGCACCCAGCTGATTCCCCAGCGCATCGGCGCCAAGAAATTGACGGTTGAAAGTAAACCCAGGGAAATTACCCATCGCAAAGATCGACCCTTCCACCGACGGCGGAGCGCTGCCGCTCCTGTGGGGGTAGTCCCGCCCGCCATATCCCCCCGCCGCAGGCGCACCGCCAAAACCCTCCGGGCCCGCCATTCCGCCCGCCATTCCACCCGTCATAGCGCCCCCCCCAGCCCCCTGCTGGTCTCGCAGCCCATACTGCGCTTCTAGGGACGCGGCCGCTGACGCTGCAGAGCCGTCTCCCGGCCCCCCAGTCGTCCCCGATATAGACACTTGCTCGTAACGAGTCTGAGAAAACGGCACATTTCCCTCCCCGGTGCCCCGTAGGAGGAGCCCGAGCTCCTGTGCGACTTGCCGATCGTCTTCCGACGCCATCGGGAGATTCATTGAATCTGGACGGATTTTAAAATGTGGTTTACATGTGAGAGTCCCGGCGTCCGTCGAGCCATTGATGGCTCGCGAAACGAAACAAACTACGTCAGGTTAGAAGGGTTTATCAGTGTTATGTGGAGCAGTTTGAACTTTAGGGTAAGTAACGCTGTCTGGTAGCTATTGTAGGAGAGAGCTGGAAGGGTTCTCAGGTACGCAAGCCGTGGGCTCTAGCGTTACGAAAGATCCTTAGCGAGTTTATCATTCACGCCCACCACCAACACGCGCCTAGATAAATTCTATCCGCGGACCATGATTCCCTGTCCACGAGTCAATAAGTGCGGTTCGCGATCCAGCGAATGAACAAACATGCACGGAGAACAGAAGGCAGGAAAAGTGGGTGAGTGGGTTGTGGACTGTCATGAGACATGCGTGACTGGTGACTGGTTGAAACAAACCAGGGCAAGAAGAGAACCTGGCAGAGAGCTGTCAATGTTCATGCAGCCTCTCTATACCCTACAGAACCTTACCAAGTTCTTGTTTCACGCTCTAAAAACGTACACAACCTTGCTGAGACACACCATTTGGATGCAAACAAATGCTGAGGCTTGCGCCGTCGAGAAAGGTGAGGCGGAAAGGGGGTACATGAGAAAAGGTGAGGCGGGGGGGTGCTTTGCCCGCCCCGTGCGAAAGTAACGCGCGAGCGACGACCATCATGCACAATGGGTTCTGACGTGGAGGGGGCACATTGGGCGAGGTCTGTGCTGCGGAAAGAACGCAGGGTGTGTTCGACGTTTGCGAACGAAGCACTTTCTGTTTTCGCGCAATGTGAGTAACACCGGCGTAATTGAATTCGGCACGACAATGACATTTTTGGCAGGAAAAACATATTATGAACACTGCATTCGTCTCAATGTACACAGTGAATTGAACATATCTCATTTATCATTCTTCTGTATCACCTCGGTCCTCGAAACGGCCTCAGTGCCCATGTTGCCATCTGGACCGTACTTCCAGCAAATTCGCAACAGGCACGCCACGCACGAACCACAGGGAAAACCGACTTCGATATAAGAAAGCATAGAAGCTTGGAAAAGGCCCCACATTTCAGCCACACCAAACTCCAACAACCTTGGGATTGCCGAGATAGAAAGGTGGAGGAGGTTCAAAGGAGAGTTAACCGAAAAGACTGCTAATCAGCCATGGAGGATCGAGGTGGTTAGGTGACGGTAGGTGGTCCGCCATGGATAGTTGTTTACTGGATTACAGACTCTGTGGTTCGGTTAGTTAACAAAAGGGGATTGTCCTTAGTGTAGTGGATCGAGTACGATGGATATTGTCGTGATGGTTTAGTGTGACTGAAACCTCTCGAAGAAATCAATCTTGGAGAAATAAGCACTAGGTTTCATTCGCCATTGAAGGTCATAATCAACTAAGCAGGCGTGGATCGTCCTTAATTTATATCACCGTTCTACACGACAACTGCTTAAGTCTGGGTCGCCGGTGAGTAAGGCGCGAAATGACAGCACCTATGTCATGCTGACAAGGTTTCACTGTTTAGGACCCTCTTATTTTTGGTTTATCCCGGAAGCCAATGAAAACTTGCTGTCCAAATTGAAGTATCGTTACCTTTGGGGCTTATCTCCTAGCTAAGGCATCAATGGCGACGGTAAAAACAGCGTCAACTTGAGCATTGGCGCTCTTAACGTAGCTCCATGTCGCAACTCCGTTTCGTAACGATTGCTTTTTCCTATGATTGTTTTCTGCAAAATTCATGCTCGCCTTAGTCATTGAGTACTAGCTAATGCGTTCACTATAGCTTGTTGATTCGCTATTTTAAAAGGGACGAGATATGGGTTGGCCGTTCTTTCTTGATTCAAATGTCACGGTCTATAATGGTCTGGAAGGGAGCAAGAGTATGTTTTTATCCTGTTCCAACTGTAGAGAAACCGGAAGAACGCATTTATGTCTCTGGTGTTTTTCTGGTACTAAAACTGTTGCAGCTCTCGCAGTACCTTCTCGTCGCTTCGTTAAGGTTTTCCTTTATTCCGTCTCTTTCTTCTACTCTTTTTTGCCGTCTTGCCCTTTCCGTTTCCATTTGCCTTGTCTCTTTCGCTAATTCTTTATTGCGGTTGTTTATTTTACCCGTACCTTCTCTTTCCCTCTCTCATCCTCTCAGAGCGCCATGTCAGCAGCCCTCCTCGCGAGGCTACGTGGCAAGCTGTCATTGGTCGCCGATAAGCTCCTTGAGCTTGACCAAGAGGCGCCACGCCCTTCGCCTCACAACCACCACAATGGCCACCGCACCCAAGAAGGAAGCACGGTTACTGGTGGTAACCCGACTGCCTCCAACACCAGCAGTGACACCAGCACCAGTACGACCGCCAGGGGAGGGAGCGGCGGCAGCACGAGCTCTGCCACGAGTAACCACAGTAACATTGGTAACCACATCGACCATGGTAACCACGTTACCACTAACAGCCACCCGGAGAGCCCGAGCCTTAACTCCCAAGTCCATGGCGTGATGGCGGTGACCGTGGCTATGGCCTTAGACGTGGATCGGGAGGTAAAGAAGACACTCGACGACGGGGAGATGTTGCGAGGCCTATTAGGTCTCGCAACGGAAGGCGGAGCGGGAGCAGGCGGAGGAGGAGGAGGAGGAGGAGAAGGGACTGATGTTCAACAATCGAAAGGAGGATCGTTGGAGTTGAACGGGAAGGGAGCGCTTGCGCCGGAGATTCACGCGTGCTTGGGTCGCCTTGAAGCGAGGTTTGGCGGAGGGAGGACGGCGGTTGAGGCGATTGAACAATGGGTGAATTCTCAGGTGGAGAATAAGGTGTCAGGATCGGTGCCAAGTGGTGGGGAACGGCTGGACAAGGTGAGCGCCCCGACAGCTGTTGGTGTGGTTGACGGGGCGAGCGAAGCAGGCGAAGTCGAACGAGCTGTGATTGCGGAAGCTGTATCAGCCACCGGCGAAAACTGGTTACCAGGTAAACTGGCGGCTGGTTCGCTTGAGAAGCAACAGGCGCAATCAAAGGTCGGTCTTGCTCGGGGCCTGGAGCCCTGGGCTGGTACTAACGGGGATGCTCTTAAAGGAGCGCTGCTGCAACTCTTGGAGAAGGAAGAGGCGCGGCTGGAGGGAGGCATCCAACGGCTAGAAATCGATTCCGAGCGTAAGATCTGCGATCTGAGGGAGGAGATGGAGCGAGCGGTGAGCGGCGAGGGGAGGAAGCGGGAAGCTGAGCTGGACCGGATGGTGAATCTGCTTATAACGGAGGCGGCGCACAGGCAACAGCTGGAAGAGGAGATTAAAGCCGTGCAGGAGCAGTGGGCGAAGAAACTCGAGGAGGCACGGGCGCAGCAGCAGGCGCAGCAGCTAGAGGAAATGGCAAGGGTGAGGAGAGAGATGGAGGAGATTAGGGAGCAATGGCGGGCGCAGCAGGAGCAAGCGAACGACGCGCTGAGGGCAGAGAAGGAAGCGGTGAGGAAACAGATGGAGCAGATGCGCGAGGAGTGGCGCGTGCAGCAGGCTCAGGCAAACGAGGCTTTAATTGGTCCTATGGAGGAGATTCGTGAGGAGTGGAGAGCTGCGGGCCTGGGCGGGAGGGTGAAAAGCCTGGAGGAGCGGCTGGACGGGGTGGAGAGCGGTGAGCATGACATGGAGAGCCGGATTTTGCAGAAGGTGTCTGAAATGAGGGTAGAGGCTGGGCTGGAGGTGGATAGGGTTGAGAAGATCGTTAGTGAGAAGGTGGATGGGCTGAAACAGGAGCTGGACGGGAGGATTGAGGGGAGTCAGCAGAAGGTAGAGCAGTTGGAGGAGCTTTGGATGGGTGCGGATGTGCCTGGGATGGTTGCGCGGATTGAAACGGGGGTGAAGTGTAATAAGATTGTGATTGAAGCGGTGGATAGGCGCGTGAGGGAGCAGGCGGAGGGGCAGGAGAGGTTAATGGAGGAGGCGGAGAGGAAAGCGAGGATGGTTGAGGAGAGTGTGGAGGAGAGAGTGAGAAAGGTGGAGGAGAGTGTGGGGGAGAGAGTGGGTAAGGTAGAGGAGAATGTGAAGAAAATAGAGGAGAGTGTGGGAGAGAGAGTGAGGAAGCTTGAGGAGAGTGTGGGAGAGAAGGTGGTGAAATTAGAAGAGGGTATGGAGGAGAGGGCTAAGAGGGTGGAAGAGAGTGTGATGGCGGGAGTGAGGAATCTAGAGGAGGTGGTTAAGGAGGTGGAGAAACTTGAAGAGAAGAGCGTTGAGGAGAGAGTGGGGGAGGTGGCGGGGAGTGTTGAGGAGCGTGTGAAAGAAATTGAAGGGAAATTAGAAGATAGGCTGAAGAAGGTAGAGGAGAGTGTGGAGGAGAGAGTGAGAAAGATTGAGGAGAGTGTGGGGGAAAGCGTGAGGAAGGTGGAGGGTGTGGAGAAGGTGGGGGAAGCAGAGAATGGTATAGAGGAGAGGGTGAAAGGAGCAGAAGCGAGTGTGGAGGAGCGAGTGGGGAGACTGGAGGGGAGTGTGGCGGAGAGTGTGAGGGAGCTGAGGGGGGAGATCAACGCTGTGGGACAGCAGGCTGCGGAGGTGGGGAGAGTGGTGTTGGAAATTAGCAAGGCGGTTGCAGAGCAGGTACGAGTGGGGAGGTTGGGGGGGAGTGCGGAGGGGGCTGTGGAGGAGAGTGTGAGGGAGCTGAAGGGGGAGATAGACGCCGTTGGGAGGCAGGCTGCGGAGGTGGGGAGAGTGGTGTTGGAAATCAGCAAGGCGATCAGCAGCAAGATTAGCAACGAGGTTGCAGCAACAGCAAGCGAGGGGGTGGAGGGGAGTGGACTTCTGGCGGAGGTGGTTCTGATTGGTCGGGAGGTGGCGAGTGTGGGAGCAGCAATAGCTGCGGGTGTTAAGGAGCAAGAGGGGAGGAAGGAGGAGGTTAAGTGTCTAGAGGACGTGGTGCTGATTGGTCGAGAAGTGGCCCGGGTGGCAGCAGAAATTGCCAAGGGTGGAAAAGAACAGATGAGCGGAATCAAATCTGAGGAGGAGATCAGATCTCTGATTGCAGCTGAGCTGGCAGCTGCTGGTGTGGTGCAGCAGCAGCAGCAGCAGCAGCAGCCGGCAGAAGCAGCAGCAGCAGCCTTGGACGAAGCTTCCAAGAAGGTGGAGCACCTGCAGAAGCTCCTGGAAGAGCAGCAGCACAAGGCTGACGCGGCAGCTGCTGACGTGGCATCCACGATCCAACAGCTTTCAGATAAAATCTCCGCGTTGGAGCTGAAGCAGGCGCAGACCACGTCAGCAGCAGCATCAGCCGCGTCAGCAGCGTCAGCCGCTGTTGCAGTGACCCACGCTGCGTTCCCCCGTGCTGCCTCCGTAGGGGCGAGTGTTCTGACCTCCCCTGGAGGCCCTAAGACAATCACAGCAGCGGCAGAGGCGGCGGCTGCGATTGTGGCGGACCGAGGGTGGGTGCAGCAGCAGCTGTCAGAGCAGGAGGAGAAGTTAAGGTGGAGAATGGAGGCTTTGCAACGAATGGCGAGTGTTTCCTTGGAGAAGGCGCATAAGCAGGCTGAAGAGGGCGCTGCGATTCTTGCAGCTGTGAAAGCAGCAGCAGGGGCTAGTGCAGGGGCGGAAAGGGGGGCAGCTGCAGGGGGAGCGGCAATGGCTGGAACAGGGGAAGCGGCAGCTGAAGGGGAAGGGGCAGGGGCAGAGGCAGGAGAAGTGGCAGCGGCAGCAGCAGCAGTGGCGGACAGAGGGTGGGTGCAGCAGCAGCTGGCAGAGCAGGAGGTAAGGTTTGAAAGGCGCGTGCAGGGGATGCAGCGGATAGCAGAGTTTGGCGTCCAGCGGGTGGGACAGCTGGCGGTGCGGGCGGCAGATTTCGACAGTATGCTGAAGCAGGTCCAGGAGGTGATGGCGGCGCTGGCTGCGCGAGTGCGGGGGCTGTTGGAGCAGCAGGTTGGGAGAAACGCGGAAATAGAAGCGCTGGTGGGGTGGAAAGCGCGGATTGAGGGGGTTTTGGAGCAGCAGGCGGGGAGAAACGCGGAGATAGATGCGCTAGTGGCACTGAAAGCGCGGGTGGAAGGGGTTTTGGAGCAGCAGGCGGAGTGGAATGCGCGAATTGATGCAATGATGAAGGAGGTGGGGGCGAAGGTGGGAGGGCTGGTGGATGGGGAGGCTCGCTGTGTTACAGCCGTTGCTGCAGCAGAAGCTGCAGCAGTGGCAGAAGCAGATATGGCAGCAGAGGCAGCAGCAGTGCCAGAAGCAAACGTGGCAGCAGGAGCAGCAGCAGCGGGGGCAGAAGAAGCAGACGCAGCAGCAGCAGCAAAAACAGCAGCAGCAGCAGCAGGAGAAGCAATAGTAGCAGAAGCAGTTGCAGCAGCAGCAACAGGAGCAGAAGCAGAGGCAGCAGCAGCAGCAGCAGGGGCAGAAGCAGAGGCAGCAGAAGCAGCAGTGGCAAAAGCAGAGGCAGCAGCAGGGGAAGAAGCAGAGGCAGCAGCAGCAGGGTCAGAAGCAGAGGCAGCAGCAGCAGGGGCAGAAGCAGAGGCAGCAGCAGCAGCAGCAGCAGGGACAGAAGCAGAGGCAGCAGCAGAAGCCGCAGGGGCAGAAGCAGCAGTGGCAGAAGCAGAGGCAGCAGCACCAGAAAGAGTTTCTTCAACACAGGCGACGGTGAAGGAGGGAGCGGAGAAGTTGGGGGCTTCGGTGGAAGGGGAGGCTCCCTTTGTGTCTTCCATAGCTGCAGCAGAAGCCGCAGGGGCAGATGCAGAGGCAGCAGAGGCAGATTCAACAACAGAAGCAGCAGCAGAAGCAGCATCAGAAGCACCACCAGCACCAGCAGTGACAGCAGAACCAGCACCAATGGCAGCAGAGTCTGCAGCACCAGCATCACCTGCCTTGACAGCAGAGGCAGAAGTTGAATTATCAGCACCAGCAGCAGAGGTAGCAGAGGTTGCAGAGGCTGCAGTTGAAGTATCAGCACCAGCCGCAGGGGGAGCAGTTGTATCACCTGCGCCAGCAGCAGCGGCGGAAGTTGAATCACCTGCAGCAGCAGAAGCAGCAGTTGAATCACCTGCACCAGCAGCAGAGGCAGCAGTTAATTCATCTGTTGCAGAGGCAGCAGTTGAAGTATCAGCACCAGCAGCAGGGGGAGCAGTTGAATCACCTGCACCAACAGCAGCGGCAGAAGTTGAATCATCTGCACCAGCAGCAGAGGCACCAGTTGAACCATCTGTTGCAGAGGCACCAGTTGAACCATCTGTTGCAGAGGCACCAGTTGAACCATCTGTTGCAGAGGCACCAGTTGAACCATCTGTTGCAGAGGCACCAGTTGAACCATCTGTTGCAGAGGCACCAGTTGAACCATCTGTTGCAGAGGCACCAGTTGAACCATCTGTTGCAGAGGCACCAGTTGAACCATCTGTAGCAGAGGCACCATCTGTTGCAGAGGCACCAGTTGAACCATCTGTTGCAGAGGCACCAGTTGAACCATCTGTTGCAGAGGCACCAGTTGAACCATCTGTTGCAGAGGCACCAGTTGAACCATCTGTTGCAGAGGCACCAGTTGAACCATCTGTTGCAGAGGCACCAGTTGAACCATCTGTTGCAGAGGCACCAGTTGAACCATCTGTTGCAGAGGCACCAGTTGAACCATCTGTTGCAGAGGCACCAGTTGAACCATCTGTTGCAGAGGCACCAGTTGAACCATCTGTTGCAGAGGCACCAGTTGAATCATCTGTTGCAGAGGCACCAGTTGAACCATCTGTAGCAGAGGCACCAGTTGAACCATCTGTTGCAGAGGCACCAGTTGAACCATCTGTTGCAGAGGCACCAGTTGAACCATCTGTTGCAGAGGCACCAGTTGAACCATCTGTTGCAAAGGCACCAGTTGAACCATCTGTTGCAGAGGCACCAGTTGAACCATCTGTTGCAGAGGCACCAGTTGAACCATCTGTTGCAGAGGCACCAGTTGAACCGTCTGCACTAACAGCAGAGGCAGCAGCAACAACATCACCACCAGTGTTTGTAGAACCAGCAGCAACACCACCATCAGTGTCTGTAGATGCAGCAGCAACAACACCAGCAGAAGTGTTCGTAGCAGCACCACCACCGCCACCATCACCCAAACCGGCAGCAACATCTGTAGCAGCAGCAGCTGCATCGGCGTCTGTAACTCCTGTCCCTTCTGTGACTTTTGCTGCAAGCCAGATGGATCTCCTGTGCCCTACACCCGGGGATGTAAGGGATTATGAGTTACATTTAGAGTCGCCATCAGCAGCAGCAGTGGCAGCGGTAGCAACCCAGATGGATCTCCTGTGCCCTACGCCCCGGGATGTGGCGAAATTTGAATTGCCTCAAAAACCGCCATCAGCATCAGCAGCAGCAGCCGCAGCAGCAGGGGAAGCAGCAGCAGAAGCAGTAGGGGAAGCAGCAGCAGAAGCAGTAGGGGAAGCAGCTGCACCTGTATCCCCTCAAGGTTCTACCCAGGAGCAGAAGAGTTCAGATTCGATTCAAGAGTCACCATCAGCAGCAGCAGCAGCGGAAGCAGCAGAGGAAGCAGCAGCAGCAGCGGAAGCAGCAGAGGAAGCAGCAGCAGCAGATGCAGGAGCAGCATCAGCAGATGCAGGAGCAGCATCAGCAGATGCAGGAGCAGCATCAGCAGATGCAGGAGCAGCATCAGCAGATGCAGGAGCAGCATCAGCAGATGCAGGAGCAGCATCAGCAGATGCAGGAGCAGCATCAGCAGATGCAGGAGCAGCATCAGCAGATGCAGGAGCAGCATCAGCAGATGCAGGAGCAGCATCAGCAGATGCAGGAGCAGCATCAGCAGATGCAGGAGCAGCATCAGCAGATGCAGGAGCAGCATCAGCAGATGCAGGAGCAGCATCAGCAGATGCAGGAGCAGCATCAGCAGATGCAGGAGCAGCATCAGCAGCAGCGCCTGTATGTCCTCTAGCGCCTACCCAGGATCTGGAGACTCTAGAATCAACTGACGAGTCGCCATTAACAGTAGAAGCAGCAGCAGAAGCTGGGGAAGCAGCAGCGCCTGCATCCCCTCGAGGGTCTACCCAGGATAAGGAGACTCTAGAGTCAACTCAAGAGTCGCCATTAACAGCAGAAGCAGCAGGGAAAGCAGCTGCGCCTGCATCCTCTCAAGGTTCTACCCTGGAGCAGAAGAGTTCAGTTTCGATTCAAGAGTTGGCACCAGCAGCAGCATCAGCAGGAGTCGCAGCAGGAGCAGAAGGAGCAACAGCGGCAGCAGAAGCAGAAGCAGCAGGAGCAACAGCAGAAGCAGAAGCAGAAGCAGAAGAAGCAGGAGCAACAGCAGCACCAGGAACAGAAGCAGCAGGAACAACAGCAGCAACAGCAGCAGAAGCAGCAGGAGCAGCAGCAGAAGCAACAGGAGCAGCAGCAGAAGCAACAGGAGCAGCAGCGCCTGCATTCCCTGGAGTGTCTACCCAGGAACAGAAAGTTCCAGATTCGACTCAAGAGTCCCCGTCAGCAGCAGCAGCAACAGCTTTAGCAGAGTTGCTACCACCAGCACCACCAGTGCCTGCAGAAACAGTAGCAGCACAACCAACATCATCATCAGCTGCTATTTCTACAGCAGCAACAGCAGCAGCAGCAGCAGTCGCAGCCCCGTCTGCAACCCCCCCATCTGGTGATTTTGCCCCGTCTGCAGCCCCATCTGGTGATGTTGCCCCGTCTGCAGCCCCATCTGGTGATGTTGCCCCGTCTGCAGCCCCGTCTGCAGCCCAATCATCACCATCATCACCACCACCATCACCATGTGCAGCACCAACGTCACCATCCGCCGCCGCAGCAGCAGCGACTTCCCTAGCTGCATCCATTGCAAGCCAGGTGGAGTTGCTATGCTCAGACTCCCAGGAGCAAGAGTCTTCCAAGTCAACTCAAGCGCCTTCTGAGTCAACTCAAGAGCCCTCTGGGTCAACTCAACAGCCTTCTGAGTCAACTCAAGTTCCTTCTAACTTGCCTCAAGAGCTGCCGCTGCAGAGTACTTTTGAAACGCCCCAGGACTTGTCAGCTCAGGTGGAGGAGCTGCCACGCAGCAAGTCCCAGGAGCAGCAAGCGCCTTGCGAGTCGACTCAGCAGGAGTATGTCGAGTCAATTCAGCAAGAGCTGCAGCCGCAGAGCACTCCTGAAACACCCCAGGACTTGACAGCGCAAGTGGAGGAGCTGCTACGTTCCCAGGCCCAGGAGCAGCAAGCGCAGCAAGAGCTGCAGCCGCAGAGCACTCCTGAAACACCCCAGGACTTGACAGCGCAAGTGGAGGAGCTGCTACGTGCCCAGGCCCAGGAGCAGCAAGCGCAGCAAGAGCTGCAGCCGCAGAGCACTCCTGAAACACCCCAGGACTTGACAGCGCAAGTGGAGGAGCTGCTACGTTCCCAGGCCCAGGAGCAGCAAGCGCAGCAAGAGCTGCAGCCGCAGAGCACTCCTGAAACACCCCAGGACTTGACAGCGCAAGTGGAGGAGCTGCTACGTGCCCAGGCCCAGGAGCAGCAAGCGCAGCAAGAGCTGCAGCCGCAGAGCACTCCTGAAACACCCCAGGACTTGACAGCGCAAGTGGAGGAGCTGCTACGTTCCCAGGCCCAGGAGCAGCAAGCGCAGCAAGAGCTGCAGCCGCAGAGCACTCCTGAAACACCCCAGGACTTGACAGCGCAAGTGGAGGAGCTGCTACGTGCCCAGGCCCAGGAGCAGCAAGCGCAGCAAGAGCTGCAGCCGCAGAGCACTCCTGAAACACCCCAGGACTTGACAGCGCAAGTGGAGGAGCTGCTACGTTCCCAGGCCCAGGAGCAGCAAGCACAGCAAGAGCTGCAGCCGCAGAGCACTCCTGAAACACCCCAGGACTTGACAGCGCAAGTGGAGGAGCTGCTACGTTCCCAGGCCCAGGAGCAGCAAGTGCAGCAAGAGCTGCAGCCGCAGAGCACTCCTGAAACACCCCAGGACTTGACAGCGCAAGTGGAGGAGCTGCTACGTGCCCAGGCCCAGGAGCAGCAGGCGCCTTCCCAGTCAACTGATCAAGAGGTGCAGCAGCAGCTGCAGTTCACTCTTGAAACGCCACAGGACTTGTCAGCGCAAGTGGAGCTGCTGCGTGCCCAGGCCCAGGAGCAGCAGGCACAGCTGCTGCAGCTGCAGCTGTCCCTCGAGGAGAACGCCAAGCAGCTGGCTCTGCTTGAGAGGGCATGCCGAGAGAAAGAGAAAGAAAAGGCCGGTGCTGCTGCTGTGACTGTTGAGGTGGGTTCAGAGGAGCAGGCGAAGCAGGAGGGTTTGGTGGAAAGGGAGTGTCTGGAAAAGGCCGGTGCTGCTGCTGTGACTCTTGGAGAGACTCCAGAGGAACAAGCGCGGCAAGTGGCTGTGTTGGAAAAAGCGTGCAAGGTGATGGCCGACGCTGCTGCTGTTTTTGAGTCTACGGAGGTGTCAGCTAGGGGTTGTGAAGAGGGGGCGTGTCAGGAGAAAGCCAGTGCTGCTGTGACTGTTGAGTCGACTCCAGAGGAGCACGCGAGGCAAGTGGCTGTGTTGGAAAAGGCATGTCAAGTAATGACAGATGCTGCTGCGGTTCTTGAGTCTATGGAGGTGCCAGCTAGGGGTTGTGCGGAGAGTAGGGAGCGCAAGGAGAGAGCAGGCTCTCTTGAGTCGACAAGAGTGGGTGCTCTTGAGTCGACAAGAGTGGGTGCTCTTGAGTCGACACCGCAGGTGTCTGCTAGTGCTTGTGGAGAGGAGGCGGACATTGCTGCTGCTGTTGTTTCAGAGTCAACACAGGTGTCAGTTTGTGCATGTGAAGAGAGCAGGGAGTGTATGGGGAGAGTGGATGCTCTGGAGTTGACTCAGCAGCAGCATGCCCAGCAGCTAGCTCTGCTGGAAAGGGTGTGCAGGGAGAAAGCAGAGGCTGCTGCGGCTGTTGAGCTGGCTCAGGAGCAGCACACGAGGCAGCTTGCTGTGCTTGAAAGAATCTGTCGGGAGAAGGCAAACGCTGCTGCAACTCTTGAGCTGACGCAGAGGCAGCATGCGAGGCAGTTGGCTGATTTGGAAAGGATGTGCAGAGAGAGGACGGAGAGTGAAGGTGAGAGGGAGAGGCAGCAGCAGCAGCAGGAGCAGCACGCCAGGCAGTTGGCTGTACTGGAGAGAATGTGCAGGGAGAAAGCAAATGCTGCTGCAACTCTTGAGCTTACGCAGAGGCAGCACGCGAGGCAATTGGCCGATCTGGAAAGGGTGTGCAGGGAGAGGATGGAGAGCGAAGGTGAGAGGGAGAGGCAGCAGCAGCAAGAGAGTGCCTCGGTGATGCCTCAGCAGGAAGGGCGGCAGCAGCAGCAGCAGCCGGAGGAGGAGCGTGCATTGGCAGTGCAGGAACTGAGAAAGAAGTGGGAGGGCATGAAAGGTGCTGGTGGGAGTGCAGCCGGGGCCGCAACAACGGGAGGAGCAGGCACAGGCACAAGAATCGGCACAGCCACAGGAAGTGTGAGTGGAAAAATGGCAGGGGTAGGAGGAGCAGCAGCAGGAGCAGGAGCAGGAGCAGGAGCAGCAGGAGCAGGAACAGTTTCAGGAGCAGGAGAAGGAGAAGGAGATGGAGAAGCAGGTGGGAAGGCAGGAGAAGAGAAGCAGACTGAGGGTTCCAAATTGACTCATGATGACGAGGCAACCTCTAAGGATGGAGAAGCGTCAACCACTGTAGCAGTTCCAAACACAGCATCAACCACTGTAGCAGTTCCAAACACAGCATCAACCACTGTAGCAGTTCCAAACACAGCATCAACCACTGTAGCAGTTCCAAACACAGCATCAACCACTGTAGCAGTTCCAAACACAGCATCAACCACTGTAGCAGTTCCAAACACAGCATCAACCACTGTAGCAGTTCCAAACACAGCATCAACCACTGTAGCAGTTCCAAACACAGCATCAACCACTGTAGCAGTTCCAAACACAGCATCAACCACTGTAGCAGTTCCAAACACAGCATCAACCACTGTAGCAGTTCCAAACACAGCATCAACCACTGTAGCAGTTCCAAACACAGCATCAACCACAGTCCCGAGCAGCACCAGCAGCAGCACTGGCAGCACACGCACCACCACCACCAGCAGCAGTGGCACCAGCAGCAGCACAAGCAGCAGCATCACCCTCCCTCACACCACCATCAGACACACTGTAGACTTCACCCGCCTCCCCAACACAACAGACAAAGACTTTGAGCAATTCCTCCTCCTAGCCCAGCTCCTCCCCCCTGCCATCCTCTCCTCCATCTCCTCCCTCCGCTTCGGCTCCTCAGACTCCTCCTGCAAGTCCTTCACAGGTTCCTCCCTCCGCCACGCCACAGCTCTCCCCGGCTTGTCCGGCCTCCACCTTCGGGGATGCACTGGGGTTACCACTGAAGGGGTGTTACAGATCGGCCGGTTGACTTCCGTTGACTCGCTTGACCTGAGCTATACTCCTGTAGGGGATGCGGGGCTGAGGTGCCTCGAGCCGCTGGTGATGCTGAGGGAGTTGGATCTCAGCGAGTGTAACCTGGTAACCGACGTGAGTGTACAGTGGATCGTGAAGCTGAAACGGCTAAGGAAATTAGACCTGGGGGTGTGTCTGGGGATCGGAGAGAGAGGGATGGAGAGGGTGTGTCGCGAGATGAGCTGGCTAGAGGAGCTAGGGCTTTCGGGGACGGCTTTGAATGATAGAGGCATGGAGAGGATTGGACAGATGGGGGGGTTGAAGAGCCTGGATGTGTCACATACGAGAGTGACTGATGAAGGAATTGCGTGCCTGGTTGTGTCTGAGGCTCTGACTGTTGGTAAGGAGAGGGCGCGGGTGGTGCTGGCTAGAGCAGCAGCGGAGGCTGAAGCAGAGGCGGCAGCAGCGGCGTCTGCTTCTGCTCTGGGAGCAGTTGCTGGAAGGGCAGAAGCAGCAGGTGCAGGAGCAGCAGCTTCTTCAGCAGAGGGTAAGGGTACTGCTCCTGCTGCTGCTGCTAGCCCAGCTGTAGCAACAGCATCAGTCACAACAGCAGCAGCAGGTGCAGCAGTGGTGGTTGCAGCAGCAGCAGCGCCGGCAGGGCGAATCCCTAGGACGAGGTCTCCAGGCTCTATTGCTCGTGATGCGCTGGCACGTTTTGTTGGGGAAGACAGTGATGACGATGATGCTGCAGCTGCTGGTGGTGGTACTGCAGCTGTTGCTGCTTCGGGCGTTATTGCACCTGCTGCCACTGCCGGGACTGGTGCCAGTGCTGTTTCTTCAGTGGTTATTCCAGCTGACGCAGGTGCAGGTGCAGCTGCAGCTGCCGATGTTGCTGCAGCGTCTGATCCCAGTTCCAGTACCACTGGCGCTGATGGTAACAAAGCCTCTGGCTCCGAGGAAGCTTCTGCTAGCTCTGAGGAAGCCGCTGCTGTATCAACGGAAGCTTCTGCTGGCTCTGAGGAACCTTCTTCTGGTGACGGGTCAGCTGCTGCAGCGGCCACTGAAACTGCGGGCTCAGAACCCCCTGAGACTGACAAGCTGGCTTCGTATTCTGAGCCTGCTACCGCCGCTGCAGCAGCTGATTTGGGTACTGAAGCTGTTGCTGCTGCTACTGAACCTACTGCTGCAGTGCCTGCTGCTGGTACTGACCAGCAGCAGACTGTTGAAGAGAGGCAGAGTACAGTAGAGGAACAGAGTGTCTCAGAGAAACCAAGTGCTGCAGAGAAGCAGGGCGTGGAGCAGCAAGGCGCATCAACACACACCAGTGCCCCCCCTGCACCCCTCACTCCTCCCAACCCATCGTTGTCATCACCTTCCGCAAAACCTTCTGCAGAAGCTTCTGCGGAGCCTTCCTCTCCATTCATCCCACGCCCCCCTCCCCCTGCCCCTGCCTCCCGCTCGCTCCTCCGCCTGCACCTAGTGGGTTGCTCCCGACTCACCGACACCGCTCTGCACCACATTGCACACCTCTCCCGCCTCCAAGCCCTCGACCTGAGCTTCACTCGAATCACAGGGGAGGGTCTGGTGTCTCTTAAAGCCCTGTCTTCTTCTCTTAACGAGTTGGTTCTTAGTGGGTGTGAGCAGCTGGGGGTGGAAGACAAGGGGAAGGGGAGGAAGGGAGGGAAGGAGGGAGGGAAGGAGGGAGGGGAGGAGGGAGGGGAGGAAGCGGGTAAGGGCACGATAATGGAGCAGCTAGGGGCGTTTGCACAGGGAAGCTCGTGGTTTGGTTTCCTGCAGATGGAGCAGCCACATCTGGGTAGCACCAGTAGCACCGGTAGCAACAAAGGCAGCAGCACCAGCAACACCAGCACCAGCAGCGGTAAACGCAGCAGCACCACCACCACCACTACCAGCAGCAGGACGGTTGAACAGCCTGGGTCTGTGGCCACAAGGGGCGGCGTTCTCCGTCATCTAGTCCCTCTCACATCACTGCGCAAGCTCGACCTGTCCAACTGTGTGCGGGTGGGAGAGGAGGGAATACTGTGTGTGTGTGAAGGCATGCCATGGCTCGAAGACCTCTGTTTGGATGGGTGTAAGCTGTCAGATGCAGGCTTGGAGGCTATAGGGAGGATGAGTCGACTGCGAGTGCTGGATATCTCCGGTTCTGCTGTCACTGACGCTGCTCTAGTGCATCTTTCTCAGCTTAGCGCCGGCAGTGCTGATTCCCTTTCGTCTGTTGCTTCCACCAGTGCTAGCAACACTGGTGACAGCAGCACCGACAGTACCGCCAGCAGCACTAGCATCATCAGCAGCACTCCCCTTCCCCCGGGCCTGCAGGAGCTTCGGATGTGGCGGTGCCCGAACCTAACCTCCTCAGGCATGGAACACATCGGGCAGATTCGAACCCTTCGTCGCCTCGATCTCTCCCAGTGCCCCGTGGGGAACCTAGGCTTGGCCCACCTCCGTCCCCTCGCCTCCTCCCTCACTTCCCTCAATCTCTCCTGGTCGGGTGTGTCTGACGAGGGGTTGTGCCAGCTGGCGGGGTACGATTGGCTGGAGGAGCTGCACCTGAGCGGCCCGAACGTGACCCCGCTCGGGCTGAGGCAGGTTCGGGGGCTTCCGAGGCTGAGGAAGGTTCGGCTGTGGTCTGTGACTAGTGAGGTGCTGGCTGCTGCTAGGGATGTGCTCTTGGGGGTGGTGGTGTATTGAAGGGGATTGTACTGAGGAGGTGGGTGTATCGATGTGGGATAGAATTAAGGTGGGTGAACTGAGGGGGGATTGAGGGATAATTTATTGAGAGATAGTATATTGGAAAACATTTGATTGAGGAGTGGTTGACTGAGGTGAGTTGTGGCGTGGTGTTGTGTAGAATGGTGTGGTATGGTTGTGCTGTGGCAGGAGGTGAAGCAGCAGCAGCAGCAGCGGCTTCAACCGTAGTGGCTGGAAAGAAGTCAATCTGGTGCTCTGTGCTGCTGGATTTTCTGCTTGACTGTCGTTTTGGCTTATTCTAACTTGGGGGCGTGTCATTGGCTTCCCCCCACCATCCCTTGCTTCCTCCTCTCCCCACATTCCCCTTGCACTTCCTACATTACACACTCCCTTGCCATCCGGTTACTGTTTATGTCCTTCCTCCTTTCTCCGTCCATACCTCCCTCTTGGCCCCTGTGGATTCTTTCTTCTTTTCGTTTGCCTCACTGCTACTTTGATGGGTACTCAAAGCTGTAGTTTGCTTGCCCTAATAGAGTTATTTTTACTCCATAAGCTTACTTGTGTGAATGTAATCATTTCTTTCTGCTCTCAAGTGGTGAGAGGTTGAAGGAAAGAGAGTCAACCAGGTGAAAATGTATTGGACAGAAAGCTGTGTTGGAATATACTATGGTATCATTTTGAATAAATTGGCAAGTTATTTGTTGCACTTCAGGGTCTCGTTTACATTCCCCCGAATTTTCCTAAACAGGACTACACTACGAACATGTGAGTCAATTGAGACCGCTGCCTGGGGTCAACCTCATTCGCCGAGATTCAGAAGGAAGCGGCCACGGCAACGGACGATCAAGATTATATGAGGTGAAAGTTCAGATTCTTTCCGCCGCTGATTCGTGGTCCGTAAAGGAGCGGCCCCTAGGAAGCTCCACCTGACCAAACACCCAGCTCTCGGGTTCTACAGGTCAGCTTCGCGGATTGCTACAAGTCAGCAGATTCTACTCCAGCCCAGCATGAAGAGTGGAGCAGCGCAAGGCATGGAGCAGAATAAGCAGCCAATTGCAGCAGGGGGAGAAGCGGCAGACCTTCGGGGCGCGCAACACACCGAACCTACCTGTTTCATTTCGATGAAGCCAACGAAGGTCGTGTTCAGCGTTCGTCAGAAGAGTTCACTTTAATGCGGTGGTGTCAGATGTGATGGTTTTGAGAATGGTGCATCACTTCTAAAGGTAGCGCTCATTCAGGGTTCCTAGCAGATAGCAAAAGCTTGCGAAACACCCTCAAACCTCCTCCACCACTTCACACGTCCTGTGACTTGGATGCGTAAACATCACTCCTCTCCCCGCGTCTGTCCCCGCTCCACCCTTTCCCTTTCCCTTTCCCCCTTCCCCCACTTTCCTGCCCGTCCCCTTCTTCCGTACCTCCGCTTCCCCATACCTTTCACCCGCCTTTCCCGCCAGGTCTTCCCTCCACCACCACCCCCCGACGCGTTTCTCCCGCGTCCCCTGCCCAGACATCATCCTGGGCAAATCCTCAAGACGAGCGCCACCTCCCCCGTCAGCGGTACCCTTCGTTCCGCTTCCCCCGGCCCAACTACACGCCTTAGCAAAGGTGTATCTTATCTTGTTGGTTCCAAACCAACGCAATTCTACATAACCGTCTTCCCTCACTCACGATCTCGATACTCTCGCATCTCTCTAACTATAGTTCTGAAGACAGTAACCAAGTCGTGAGACGCTCCTGAATGACGGCTGCTGTGCGGATGCGACGATAGCGGCCGATTTGGATTAACCGCCGAAAACCGCAGTCCACACCGCTCTTTACAGAAAATGTGTATTTATTAGTTGTTTTAGGTCAAAGCATTCAGTGCTTTTCTTGGTTAGTGGTTCGTAGCGTGAAACCTGCATCAGGAAACTGACAAATGTTCGTAGCGTAATTAAACGTTATATTGCCTTTTAGTGCAAAGTCTTTTGAGACATCTCAAAAGCGAAGCTCTAAGAAATGGAAGCTCTGCTAAACGACATGCACGGCACACACTTAATCAATTCCCATCCTCCACGACATTCGCTAGACGACGCTCTCAAACGAGCCTGCCGCCTCGCCGCTGAAACTTCTTCGCCGTCTCCCAATTCCGTCAACGTTAACGTTAACGTTTGCGCCAACGGCGGCGCTAACGGAAGGAGAATTTCGCAGGGCTCTGGAACGACCAATCCTGGAGGCAAGTTGAACGGACGAGTTTATCCTGGTTTGGACTGTAACGAGGGTATTTATAACGAGATCCATCCTGCAGATCTTGTGAAGCCTGAAGGTTGCGGGAACGACTTAGTAGGTCCTATACCCCGGTCTAAGGCAAGTAAAGACCGTGTACTAGGCGACAGTATGATTATAGGCGCTCCGGGTGCCGCTCCTTATCGCGGACAAGCAGCCGACTCCGTTTCTGGGCTTCCTGGCGTGAAACGCGGCGAACCGTCGGATCTAAGCAGCGGGACCAACGGCGGTATTTATGGAGGAATGGAGACCCGTGGGGCCGGGATTGCTGCCGGATTTGGCGGCGGAGAAGGCGGCGGAGGATGTGGCGGAGGAAGCGGCGGTGGAGGGAGAGAGGGCGAGGAGGAGGAGCAGAGTTCGATCACGCGAGAGTTTGCGAAAATCGCGGCGAGAAAACGAGCGGAGCGGTTGAGGAACAAGCGGGGCGACTTGATATGCGGAAGGAGTGGAAGTGAGTCGGAAGCCTTAGAACGAGCCTTGGAGACTGCCGAAGCTGCAGCCGTGTCTAACGGGGTGGCTGCTAACGGGGCGGTTACTAACGGGGACGAGCTAGTAGCGGGGAGAAGAGTTGGGGTGAAGGCCAGTTCTTGCCGCGTGAGAGTTATTCCTCCGTTATCCGCGGCAAGCGGACTCGATTCAGTTTACCGTCGCGAGCCGAACGTCGGTCAAGACAGGCTCGCTGCGGCAGCCTCGGAGTGCGGAAGAGGTTCGGGAACAGGTCCGGGATCAGGTCCGGAAGCGCTGATCTCGGTTCGGCGATGCCAATCGGAATCCGAATCCGAATCGGAAGGGTACACGGCGGTGTTCTCTCGCCTCAAGGCGCAGAAGCTGCGGGAGCGAACCGAACACGACTTATTGCATAACGACCACGGTGTGGCAGTAGCAGGATCAACATCAACAGCAACAGCAGCAGCACCAACAGCACCAGCAGCAGCAGGAGCAGCGCCGATTGCGGCGCCAATAGCTACGCCGATAGCTGCGCCGTTTGTGGCTCCGATTGTGGCGCCGATTGTGGCGCCGATTGTGGTGCAGATTCCGGAGTTCATCCCGTATCAAGCGGGGGACGAGGCGGCTGTGGAGCTAACCTTTGCTTGCGGGCTGGGCGCAGGGGGGCAGGCGCGCGCGGGGGGGGAATTAGGCGCGCGGGGGCAGGCGCGTGCGGGGGGAGAGGTGGGTGGAGGCGGGTTGCCCCGGAGCCCTGTGCGCAAGTTTCGTGTCGGCGCGGGGGAGAGGGGAGCGGCGGCGCTGCAGGCGCAAGGGAAGGCGGGAGAAGAGGCGCAAGGGGCGCGCGGGGCGCAGGCAGCGGGGGGAGCGCGGGGAGAGGGTGGGGCGCGGGGAGCGGAGGGGCGGTCGGAGGGGCGGGCGGAGGGGCTCGCAAGCCTAACGTTTCAGCAGTGGGACAGAATCAAGGAGCGGGTTATGGCGGGAGGGGAGGAGGCGGGGGAGGGGGAAGATTCGGGGGAAGCGGGGGAGGCGGGGGAATGTGAGGCAGGGGGGATGGGGGAGGTTTGGAATGAGGAGGAGGAGGATCGGGTGGCGGATGCCGAAGCTGCAGCCGCGGACCAAGCCGCGGAAATCGCTGCCAGGGCTGAGCGACAGGCTCGGATACAGCGGCTTCTGCTGGAGGTGAATCTTCCGCGCCTGGCGCAGTGGGGGGGGGATGGGGGGAGCGGAACTCAGCAGTGGCGTGGGGAAGGCGCTTGCTAGCAGCGCCCCTGGGGGGTTTTTCATGGGGGAAAGGGGGACGGGGGGAGGCGGCGGGGGGAATGGGGGGGGGTATAGCTCTGGAAGCGGGTCGTCTGGTGTGAGTAGCAGTAGCAGCATAGAGGGGAGCGGGGACAGTGGGGGGAGGGCAGGCAGTGGGGGAGGCAGTGGGGGGAGCAGTGGGGGAGGCGGGGCAAAGAAGGAGAGCTCATCGGTGCCTGTCACGCCAGCAGGAGGGCGAATGGATGGGGGATACGTGGGAGGAGGGATGATGGTGCATGGGGGAGGGGGATATGGTACAGGGGGATATGGGGGAGGTGGGGCAATGGGGGAGAGCTCATCTTTGCCTGTCACTCCTGCAGCAGGAGGGCGAATGGATGGGGTTTACCCAGGAGGAGGCATGATGGTGCATGGGGGAGGGGGGTATGGGGGAGAGGCGTATGGGGGAGGGGGGTATGGTGCGGGGGGGTTTGGGGGAGGTGCATATGGTGGGGGGCAGACAGTTAATGCACGGGCACAGGCACGGGCACAGGCACAGGCGCATGGGCAGGGCAAGAAGGGGTTTTTCTCGCTGCTCAAGGTGGGGCGAGGGGGGAAGAAGCTGGCAAAGTCGGAATCAGCAGACGGCCGCCTGTGATGAGCTCAAGTGTTGACATGTGGTAGTACGTTCTTGTCTGTATTAAGGACTGAGGCGCTTTTTGAGGCGCCTAATAAGTGGGGCGAGGGGGGAAGAAGCTGGCGAAATCAGAATCAGCAGACGGCCGCCTGTGATGAGCTCAAGTGATGACATGTGGTAGTACGTTCTTGTCTGTATTAAGGACAGCGTTTTGGGGTTAGTGAGGGAGTTGTTTCTTGTGTGCTTTAGTGTTACCGCAACCACAATTTGGAGACCACTAAGAGCGTGTTTCTACACCTCGTATCAGACGCACCTCCTATCAGCTTCGCATGGTGAAATACGTTTCAGTGTGTTTGACTACGGTTGTGTGTGTTTTAGTGCGGTTCGACGCGAGTCTGATACGAGACTGCCTAATACCGTATGAGGCCGTAGGATCACGCTCTAATTTGTATGCTGGTATACATGGATGTATGCACCATGTGCTTTTCTGTACATCTGTGGCACACAAAACGCCAGCAGTTCCATTACAAGAATCATACTTTCACCCCAAAGCCTCTCGTCCCAGAACTGTGTATCCAACATTGTGTTGTGAGTCATGTAATATTGTATGATCATCAAACGGTACAATATTACTCTCCCCCACTCCCCCCCTCCCCCCGCCTATAGCCCTTAGTTCTGTCACAGCCACTCGAATCTCTTTTTCCTACGCCTGTAGGCCTAAGCTATGCCACAGCCTCTAAAGCTTGTCTCAACGCCACTACATCCGAACTGGGATTCCAGTCGAGTCAAGAATGTTCCTTCAGAAACCACTTTGACTCTCCCCTCCCTGTGTCTGTAGCCCTTATTTCTGCCACTGCCTCTAGAGCTCGTCTCAACGCCGCTACATCTGACACTGAACCTGCCCCGAACCTCGCTGCACACTGCCGGACGATTTCCGAAGCTGTCAAACCGGCCTCTCCCAAAGTTGTACTGGATGCCGCCGAGCCTAACAATGCCGAGCCTGTGGCTAGGCCTGGTGCCGAACCTGGTTCCTGGAACAATAACACAAGCTTCTGCTGTAGACTCAGACTGGAAGCAGCACCCTGCATTACTCCTGCTGCCGAACCTGCTTCCGGGCCTGAATCTGAACCTCTTCCTGCCAAACCTATACCAAGACCATTTGACCGAGCCCCTAGCCCAATGCCTCTCCCAACTATCATCATAATACCACTCCCATCACCACCACCACCACTACCACCACCAGCAGCAATGCTGCCACTACTACCATCCCCTCCTCCTCCTCTTGCTATAGATTGCACCATACCTTGCCTCTGCCGCAGCCTTTGCACCAGCTCACTAGAGGACAAAACAGTGCCGCCCGTGATCCCTGCGCTCACCCCTCCCCCATCCCCTCGTCCACTCCCGAACCTGCTGCTAGCGTTGGTGCTCGCCGAACCAAACCTCCTCCGCCCCCCCCTGGCTGGAACACCAGCCTGGCCAGACCTGCCGGTCCAGGTAGGTTCGGAAACGTCACTGGAGGCTCGGTCGCGCTGTGATTGGCGGAGAGCTGCTTCTGCTCGTGCTGCCACCGCCGCTGCTTCACAATCCATCCGAATCCGGTCGGCTGACGCCAGCCGTTCGATCGTATCCTGATCCAACGCAGCCTGCACACCGTTGGATTCAAAGAGAGATCTGAGAATCTTAGCCTCATCTCGTTCCCCGTTACTCGTACTACCATTCTGCCTTGAATTCCTGCTCCCTGTATTCCCCGTATTCCTCCTGCTCCCTGTACTCCCCAGCATGCCTTGATGGTTGCCACTGCCTAGCTGGGTCCCATTACCTTCCCTCACTTCCTCCACACACTCTTCCTCCTTCACACTCACTGACCCTTCAACTCCTCCCCCACCTCCTCCTCTCATTGCTTCCTGCGTCCCTCCCCCTCCCCCTCCCGCCATCACCATTTTCACACCGGGTAGACCCGCCAGCACATCCGCATTGTCCAATCGCAAGCTGACATCTGTCCCCATCCCACCCCCCCTCCCACTCCCTCCCCCACCGTCCCTCTCCCTTCCCCTCCCCTTCCGCTTTCCCCTACCCTCCTCTGCCTCCTGACCTCCTCCCTCCTCCCCCTCCTCCTCTTCTTCTAAAGTAAACAAGTCTGTTAAATCCTTGGACTTGAAAAGCCGCTTCTGCTTTGGATCCCTAAGCACGCGGTTGGAAAGCAGCTGCTTCGACAGCTGGCGGTGAAAAACCTTCTCCTCTATAGTCCCCCTCGTTACAAGCCTGTAGATGATCACTTCCCTCTTCTGCCCTATGCGCCATGCCCTCTCCCGAGCCTGCAAGGAGAAATGAGAAGATAATGAATAAATAATAATTATATATATAAAGGATCGTGCACCTGTTCTAAAATTCCCCAAAAAATTGCTTACAACACATGAGGAGGACAAGAGAAGTGCGACGATACTGCACCGCACAACACCGCAACCAAGAGCAGCTCACCTGCAAGTCCGTCGAGGGGTTCCAGTCAGGATCAAATATCACGACCCGATTGGCCCCCGTGAGATTTGTTCCCAATCCGCCCACCCTAGTGGTCAGCAAGAAGACAAACACGCCGCCCTCCCCGCTGTTGAACTCGTCGATCAGCGCCGCCCGCAGCCCGGGCGGCGTGCTGCCGTCCATTCGTCTGTATCCAAAGTTACAGTTGAGCACGAGGGATTCGACTATATCCAGCATCTGCTGCGTCTGACAGAAAACCAGCGCCCTGTGCCCTTCAGCTTTCCACACATGGAGTATCTGTGGTGTTAAGAGGGAGACAGCAGGACGAAGAGTAAGGGGAAGACAGGGGTAAGAACGGAACGGAAGAAGATAAGCTGTGGTTGAGCACGAGGGATTCGACTATAAGGTGACTTTTGAGTTGACTCAAAAGTCACCTCGACTACATCCAATCCAGCATCTGCTGCGTCTGGCAGAAAACTGAAGATCTGTGGCCCTCAGTTTTCCACACCTAAATTGGTCAACTCAACCTAAAAGTAGCATCACTTACCTTATCCAGCACTTGCAGCTTGGAGCTTCGGTCGGGGTTCCCAAAATCAGGGTCACCCTTTCTCGAGTTCCCACCTCTGCTTCCCTCCCCTCCCTCCTCCTCCACCACTGCCGCCCGCCACTTGGCCCACTGGCCCCCCTCTCTAGGATCCACCACCACATCCCTCACTCCCTTCCTCACCCCTCCTCCCTCACTACCAATCACACCCTCGCAATCTCCCTCCCCCCTCCTCCCTCGCTCTCTCTCACCCCGCCTCCTCTCCCTTCTCCTCCTCCCCCCCCTCCACTTCTCCCTCCTCCTTCACCCCCTCTCGATCCTCCTCTTCCTTACTCGCACCTCCCCCTTCCCCCCCCCCCTGCCCCTCCTCCTGCCCCTCCCAGCACTTCCCTTTCATCCACATCTAACGCCAATAAATCCGGGTGATTGCAGATTTTCCTCAGCACATCGATCCCATACAAGCTGTTTCGATACCGCTCCAGAATCTGCCGCATCTCCTCGCTCTGCAGAAACGCGCGGTACAGCGTTCGTTGGAATCTAGTGATAGGCACCAGCAGCACGCGTTCCGTCTTTTCTGGCAATTGAATGTCAACGTCCGCCTTGACTCTCCGGAGCAGGTATGGAAGGATGACGTCTCGAAGCACAACGGCACACTTGTAAGCCGTGGCGACCTGCAGTTGGGGAAAGTGGGGAGAAAAGACATGAAGTCACGACAGCAGGAGCCCTCGCTCCGTCTTTTCTGGCAATTGAATGTCAGCGTCCGCCTTGACTCTCCGGAGTAGGTATGGCAAGATCACGCCTCGAAGCACAACGGCACACTTGTATGCCGTGGCGACCTGTGGGGATACGGAAGGGGGGAAAAAGGGATGCCCGCTGCATGTCTGTGACTGCCTCCACATCTGCCTTCACTCACTATCCGTTCACTATCCACTCACTATCCACTCACTATCCACTCACTATCCACTCACTATCCGTTCACTATCCACTCACTATCCACTCACTATCCACTCACTATCCACTCACTATCCGTTCACTATCCACTCACTATCCACTCACTATCCACTCACTATCCCCTCACTATCCACTCACTATCCACTCACTGTCCACTCACTATCCACTCACTATCCACTCACTATCCACTCACTATCCCCTCACGATCCCCTCACTATCCCCTCACTATCCCCTCACTATCCCCTCACTATCCCCTCACTATCCCCTCACTATCCACTCACTATCCACTCACTATCCACTCACTATCCACTCACTATCCGTTCACTATCCACTCACTATCCACTCACTATCCACTCACTATCCACTCACTATCCGTTCACTATCCACTCACTATCCACTCACTATCCACTCACTATCCCCTCACTATCCACTCACTATCCACTCACTGTCCACTCACTATCCACTCACTATCCACTCACTATCCACTCACTATCCCCTCACGATCCCCTCACTATCCCCTCACTATCCCCTCACTATCCCCTCACTATCCCCTCACTATCCCCTCACTATCCCCTCACTATCCACTCACTATCCCCTCACTATCCCCTCACTATCCACTCACTATCCACTCACTATCCACTCACTATCCCCTCACTATCCACTCACTATCCACTCACTATCCACTCACTATCCACTCACTATCCACTCACTATCCCCTCACTATCCCCTCACTATCCCCTCACTATCCACTCACTGTCCACTCACTATCCCCTCACTATCCCCTCACTATCCCCTCACTATCCCCTCACTATCCCCTCACTATCCACTCACAATCCCCTCACTATCCCCTCACTATCCACTCACTATCCACTCACTATCCACTCACTATCCCCTCACTATCCACTCACTATCCACTCACTATCCACTCACTATCCACTCACTATCCACTCACTATCCCCTCACTATCCCCTCACTATCCCCTCACTATCCACTCACTGTCCACTCACTATCCCCTCACTATCCCCTCACTATCCCCTCACTATCCCCTCACTATCCCCTCACTATCCACTCACAATCCCCTCACTATCCCCTCACTATCCACTCACAATCCACTCACATCCTCTCACCATCCTCTCAACATCCTCTCACCATCCACTCACCATCCTCTCACCATCAATATCATTCTCCATTCAGCATCACTGCTCATTCCACCCACCATCTTACTAGCACCCTTACCTGCAGGGGAGTGGCGTTGAGGTATCCACCAATGGCTATGGGGAGAGCAAACTCTGTTGAGAACACTGGTAGCGTGCCCAGCCTGACCTCCGTGAATGGGCGTTGGGGTGGGAGAAGGGGGGAGGGGGAAAGAGGAGGGTGTTGGGCGTTGAGGTATCCACCAATCACAATGGGGAGAGCAAACTCTGTTGAGAACACTGGTAGCGTGCCCAGCCTGAGGGTTTAGGTGGGTGAGGGGGGAAAAGGGGAAGAGAAGGATTTAGAGCGTTGAGGTATGAACCAATCGCAATGGGGAGAGCAAACTCTGTTGAGAACACGGGTAGCGTGCCCAGCCTGACCCTGAAAAACGATTAACAGTAGGGGGGGTTGGGTTTTGGGGGGGGGGATGAGGAGGGTTGGAAAGTGCGGGAAAGGGGGAAGAGTGGGGCTTTGGGCGTTGAGGCATTCACCAGTGGCCATGAGAAGGGCAAACTCCGTTGAGAAGCAAGTGCCCTGAGGACCTAGCAAGAGGCTATCAAAGCAAGGGCAAGCACCCACCTGCCAGGTAAACGAAGTCCATGAGCGACCAGAGCTCGTCCAGCCGGTTCTGAATCGGCAATCCGCTCAGCAGCAGGCAGTGCGACGTGCGCAGCTGCTTGCATGCAATCGTGGTGTCTAGAGAATCCCCTAGTGAAACAGAACCTCTAGGAAACCTACTAAAACCCTAGGGTATGAATCTTCAGGGGGTGATGAGCAGGAATAAGCCCCTACATACCTGCCAGGGTAGACAGAGTCCATGAGCGACCAGAGCTCAGCCAGGCGGTTTTGAATCCGCGATCCACTCAGCAGCAGGCGGTGGGGCGTGTGGAGCTGCTTGCATGCAATCAGGAGCCCTGGGGAATGAATGAACAAGGGGCTCATGGAACTAGGGTAACCGCTTACCTGCCAGGGTAAACAAAGTCCATGAGCGACCAGAGCTCGTCCAGCCGGTTCTGAATCGGCGATCCGCTCAGCAGCAGGCGGTGCGGCGTGCGCAGCTGCTTGCATGCAATCGTGGTGTCTGCATCAGGGTTCCTGATCCGATGGCCCTCGTCGAGTATCGCGTACCCCCAATCAACGGCCAGGAACAGCTCTCGCCGCAACCGAACCTGCTCGTATGTGGTGATGACGAGGCTGTTGCCTCGGGCCAAACCTGATGGTGCTGGTACGGGGACAAAAGAGAGGGCAGTTAGCGGCGAGTTTGGGTGTGATTCTAACGAGGGTTTCTTCGGTAGGGTCACCCCAACAGCGGATTCGAGAGCCTTTCTCCATTTCTCGTAGACTTGATGCTGCCGGTTGATGCTGCTCTTGCTTCCACTACCCTTCATGCCACCGCTGTTGCTCTCACTGCCCTTACCCCCACTGCCTTTTTTCCCATTGCCTTTGCCCCCACTGCCCTTACTCTGCCCTCTTCCCTTGCTTCTTCTCTTTCCTGTTCCATCTCCTTCCTCCTCCTCGTTGTCTTCTTGCGTCAAAATTTCCCTCCCTCGTCCTCCACTTCCCCCTCTTCCCCCTACTCCCCTCCTCTCTCTTGCAGCTCTCATTCTCGACCCGGCCTGCATTCTCTGTAACAAAGCATCCACCCTTTCTCCCTCCTCCTCGCCGCCCTCCTCTCTCCCCTCATCCTCTCCCTCACACTCCACCTCATCCTCCTCTTCATCCTCTTCCTCCTCCTCCTTCCCCTCATCCCACTCGGACTCTTCCGTTTCCTCTCCTGACTCCCATTCCTCCTCTTCCTTTCCCCTTCCCCTCTTCCCCCTCTTCGCCTTCTTCCCCTTCTTCTTCTTCCTTCCTTTCCTCCCACCTCCCCCTCTCCCCTCTTCCTCTCCCCCCCCCTCCTCCTCCTCCTCCGCCTCCTCCCCATCCGCCTCTCCAATTCCCCCAGAGTCATGCAAAATCACCGGATTCAGTTCCGGACACCAGATCCGAACCTCCCTCTGCCACTGCCGAAGCAGCGTGACGGGGCAGACCAGCAGGCTTGGGCGGTACAGCCCCGAACGTAGCAGCGAGGCTAGGAACGCAGCTACCTGCACAGTCTTTCCCAGACCCATTTCGTCCCCTAGAATCCCCCCTACCTCCTGACAATGCAACTCCCACAACCACTTAACCCCCGTCCTTTGATACTCAAACAGTTTATTATACACTGAACCTGGTATTCGTAGCCCCCCCTCTAGAATCACATCATCACTATCAACATCAGTATCAACATCATCATCTACAACATCACCATCATCATCATCAGCATCCACATCAGCATCATCAGCATCCATGTCAGCATCATCAGCATCCACATCAGAATCATCCACATCAGCATCCCAGCTCTCCATCTTCCCTTCTCCTCCCCCACCCTCCACCCCATCCACACCCACCTCCACCATCCTATCCCCCTTCCCTTCTCTCCACGCCTTACCAGGAAGCGGTCTCCTCACAACCCTCCTCCGCTTCCTCCTCTCCCCGCCACCTCCTTCCCCCCCTCCCCTCTGCCTCCCTCCTAATATCTTCGCAAACTCTTTCAAAGGCTCCGGGACCTTAGGGACCTCATCCGCCCCTAGAAGCTTAGTCTGCCTCTTCCCCTGCCTCTCCCCCTCCCCTCGCCCTAACCCCACCCCTTCTCCCTCTCCCCTACCTCCTCCTCTGCTCTCTATACCCCCATGTTCGTTCTCCTCTCCTTCCCTCTCTCCCTCCCTCTCGTCCCTGCCCTCCATTCCCCCACCCCTGCTGCTTCCTTCCCCAAGCTGTGTCTTTTGGGTGGGCCCTGACTGAACGGCCTTGTCAAAGCCCTTGAGCTGTGCGAAAGGAGTGATGAGACCCAAACGAATGAGCCTATCCCGCTCCTGAAGTAAGGGATCGGGATGTCAGGGGGGAAAGGGGGATGGGAAGAGGGAGGGGGGGTTGAGATGGAAAAGCAGGAAATTGAACGGCCTTGTCAAACCCCTTGAGCTGTGCAAAAGGCGTGATAAGACCCAGGCGAATGAGCCGATCCCGCTCCTGAAGCACGGAATTGAGATGAGATGCAAGGGTTGGGAGGGAGGCAATGCACGCGATAAGGAAAGTAGGTGTCAAAAGGAAAAGAAGCAGGGGGGGGGGGGGGTAGGGATGGCACTAGGTGAATAGTCTGTATCGCCCTTACTTCGGCTAATATTGAAATAACAGCAACTTGCATACCATATGACATACCGTTTCCACGAATCCAGTTGCAGCAGCACCATCCAGCGCCGAATCAAAATCATCCACGTCATCCATCAGCATTGTAGCCTCCACCTTCCCCTTCCCCTTCCCTTTCCTCTTCCCCTCATCCACCCTCGCACCCTCCCCCTCCCCTCTTCCACTCTCGCCACTTCTCCACTCTCCACCAATCTGCGCCTTACCCTTGCCCTTCCCTTTCCCCACAACCCTTCCACCTTCCCGTCCCCCATCCAAAACCCGACCCCTTCCTTCTCCCTTTCCTCCTCTACCTCCTCTCCCCTCTCCCTCTCCGCCACCAGCCAGCCTTCCCCCAGGCCCAGCCTCCCCCAGTCGAGCCTCCCCCATCTGAGCCTCCCCCAGCTGAGCCTGCAGCTGCCTGCGCAGTTTCAGGAGGCTCTTCACGCGCTCCTCTGTCAGCGCCAGCTGGAGGTTCCTAGCGGTACTGTCTGCCTGTGAGATCTTGCCAGTCCCGGTCGCCTGTAGGTTTAGGCTCCTTGCTGTGCCGTCCGCCTGGCTGCCAGATATTTTGAGTGCGACACGGTCGCGATCCCCTTCCACAATAGTAGCAATATCAGCACCCTTCTTCTCTTCACCCGCACCATCACCTTCATCCTTGCTCGTGTCCTTTATCTTTTCCTTCTTCTCCCTCATTTCATCCTCATCCCTTGCAGCCTGCCCACTGCTGCTGTCAGAAATTCCAAATCCGGTAACCTTCGCGCTCTTCCCCTTCGCCGCTCCTCCTGCTCCAGACCCCCTCCCAAGCCCTCTCCCACGCCCTCTCCCAATCCCTCTCCCGCTCGCGCCTTTACCCGTGTCCGCTCCTCCGCTTTCCCCACCTTTCAGCGCCATGAGCGCATCCCCTAGAGCGTTCAACTCCCTCTCCACTGCCCGTAGCTGCTGCTGCACCCTACCCGCCTGCACGGGTGGCATAATTTCGTTTCGAGACGTCTCAAAACTCTCCACTGCCTGCAGCTTCTGCCGCACCCTACCCGCCTGCACAGCTGGCATGATTTTCCTACCGTGTGACGCTTCACTGGTGAGTATGGATGCTACAACGGCCGAATTTGACGGCTGTACGGTCAATTTTGACGCCTGAGCAGTCAAACCTGACAGCTGAATGGTAGGATCAGACGACTGAACGGCCAATTCTGCTGCCTGAACGGTCGAATTTGACGGCTGAATGGCTGAATCTGACGGCTGAACAGGTGATTCTGCCGCCTTAACTATCGAATCTGAGGGCTGAACAAGCGGTTCGGATGCCTGAACGATGGATTGGACGGGAAAAACGGAGTGATCAAGAGCAGCATCCATCGGTGTACTATCATCTCCCTCTTGATCAATTTGTTCCGCCTTCAACGTCTGCTGCGGCTGCTGCTCCTGTTGTTGCTCATGCTGCTGCTCCTGCTCCTGCTCCTGCTCCTGCTGCTCCTCATCCTCCGTCTCCTCCTGATCCTCCATCTTCTCCTCCTCCTCAGCCTTGATAGCTGAGCCTCTCCAAGGTGAAACTTCAAACGCTTCGTCGCCTTCCTTCATTTCGCTGTCATCCACTCCTGCCATTTCCTCGGCAGCACTTTCAACTAGTTGATCCAGCTTTATTTTCGAGGGTTCTCCACTATCATTCATGTGGGATGTGCGTACTTGGGCCGATAGAAGAGCAGATTTTCCGTTCAGCACACACCCATGCGCGGGAGTCCTTCAGTTTCACCCCACAGACGACGATTGCTAGTTCCTTGTGCCTGTAAATGCGATGAAGCGTCGACGTCACGCTTTTCTGAAACGTGGCTCTATGATTTGTTCTTCCTTGCCCCGACTCTTCTCTTGGTAGTTCCTGTCCCCTCCCCATAGTGTACCATTGGCCTCTTGTCCAACCTGACTTCCACACCTGATTGTCAGAGTATGCCCGCTCTTTTTTGTGTCCAGCCTGTATTTTGTTGCCGAGGCTCTCACTCCCGTATGTGATGGTCCTTGCTGGGCTTGCCCAGATGCGGCTGGTGGAGTACAGTAATTGAGAAGCCTAGGTTGCTTCGGCAGCGCCCCAGTTTGCCAAGTCAAAAACTGCCGAGCCTGCTTGTTATTGGTTTGGGCGAGCTTCCGTGGGAGAACGTTCGGAACGGACCAAAAGGTTGAACTTGGGAGATTCTGGGTGGAGAGGGCAACAATCGAATCCATTTCGAAGGGTATGTCCACCCGAAATTGTTTAAACTCCGTTGTAACACGGAGAAACAGCAGATACCATAAGGAAACGTTCTAAACCGCACAGAAGCTAAAACTTTTGGGACCCATAACAGGGACAAGAGCATCTATCTCACCCTGTCACTGGGAGCTTGCGTGACTCAGAATCAACCTTCGCATTGCAGGATCTATGACAATGGCTGGTCATGTTGGTAGTGACCTTCAAGCGAGACTCAGACGACTTCAGACTCTTCCAGCAAACAAGGAGTGTGCCGACTGTGGGTGTAAAAATCCTCGATGGAGCTCCGTTACCTACGGAATCTTTCTTTGCCTAGAGTGCTCTGGAGTTCATCGTGGTTTAGGTGTGCACATCAGTTTTGTTAGGTCGGTTGACATGGACTCTTGGAGTTCAGATCAAGTGACGCGAATGGAGGTAAGCATATGCGCTGATTGTGTATCTCCGATATACGGAATTTGAGCAAGCTCGGACTTCATGAATCTTGTCTTGGCAGAATGGTGGAAATCTAGCGTGGAAAAGGTTTCTGGATCAATATCAGGGCGAACAGAGAGTAACTGATCAAGCTAATCTTTATAAATCTCAAGCAGCTTCTTTGTACCGGGAGAAGGTGGATGCACTAGCTGCTGGACGCCAGTGGGTTTCATCTCCACCACCTCTACGCCAGCGGAGTGTAAGTGTTTTCATGAGACGTTGACTTAGATCATATGCTTCTGGACAACGCTTCATTCAACAGTCTCATCATGAACCTCACTGTTCTACAGGTTCCATCGCCCAGCTCCTAAAGTTCGCTGCGGGAGAAAAGTTTAACGAAGAGCATTTCCGCAATAGAGCACTGGGACGACTGGGGCGACGGCTGGACAACAGCGCATGCCTGATAGATGCTTTCACTAACCAGGATGCTTGTTGAAAGATGAAAGAATAATTACTTGAAACAGCAAAAGATGCGGGACAAACTCCAAATGCACAATAAACCCTGAACATGCCTACCGAACATGCCTCAGCTTGCGAGCATTACTGCTCTGCAAGGGTTTTAGTTAAATTCTTAATAACCTTCTTCCAGATCGATTGGTTGGACATAGTTAATATTCACAGCTCGGTCGAGGCGATATGTTCAAGAGTTAGCGCCGACAGTACCCCAGCCCTCGCCCCAGTCATCCCAACTTTGCGAGGCGACGGCTCGAGCGGGAGGAGCGGTGCATCTTCTGCTGGTTCTCGAAGCGGCAGACGAGGCTCGGGATGCAGCTGGTAGGGTAGAGCGCGCCTGTAACAACAAACACCAAGTGAAAAGGAACAGCATTATTAGCATACTGATCGGCTGAAGTCCACTGGAGGGACCCACGAGACAGGGATGAGGAGCAGCACAAAGGATGAGGGAAAATGCGTAGGGGAAACTGGTATGTCATTGGAATAAAGGAAATCCAATTTAGGGTAAATGCTCACCACTGTCTTTTGCTTGGGCATCAGACCAGGAGGAGGGGTCCACGCTCGACCAGCGACAAGCACGTCCAGCTTTTCCCGGTAGTACTGCGCAGCAGGCGACGCGTATTTCTTCGCTATCGTCGCCGTCTCCGTCGCATCAGCGTACCGATCAAGGAAATCGTTCCACGCGGAATTTCCTCCAACCTCCATCCGCTTCAGCTGGGAGTCGCTCCACGAGTCCATAATGACGGAGCGGACGAAACTGAGGTGGACACCGAGGCTGCGGTGCGTGCCGGAGCACTCGAGGCAGAAAAAAATGCCGTATGTCACCGAGGCCCACTGCGGGTTCTTGCACCCGCAGTCAGCGCAGGCTTGGTTGCTGGCAATCGACTGCACCTTTCGTAGCCGGGCTTGCATCATAGGTGTCGCCATTGCGGACGCGAACAAGGAAACGTGCTAGGGTTGGTGAAAGGCTTCGGTTTAGGTTTGGATTACAGTTACAAGTACGTGTTCGGTGCTCGACGTAGGAAACCGCGGATGATTAATCACTACTGACAGACGTAGTACAGGTCTTAAGATTGATTGACAAAAATACGTAGACCATTCGTGGGTGTGCCGCGTGATAAGAGAGGTCACTCCTGTCGCCAAGACGTACGTTCGATTGTGAAAGCCTGGAGACGATACTACTGGCAAGCACTCAACGTCTCAGCAAGGAGCTCCGAACACAGGAAATAGAAGATCAATAGACGAGCAATGCAATCAAAACTACGGCTAGGATAGTAGGAATGGTTAGTCACGCTGTCACAAATAATTGAGGCCGATGGGTCGGTCTAGCAGCAGACACGGTTCTGAGGGGTGAGAGCGGAGCGGATGGCCCGAGAAAAGGGGGACGGGCAACCGACCGAAGGCGGGAGATGGGTGCGCGCCGCTCCAATAATTTCGTGCTGGGATGGATGGGGGATGCATGAAAGCGGGACTGCTTTTGCCTCTAAGACGGGGGAGAATTTGGGGGAAGTGGGGAAGTGGAATAGAAAGGAAGGATTCCGAACTCCCCAGCTTGACCCCCCAGTAGCTGGCGGCGATCCCTAGGCCCACGACCGAACAGAGGGGGAAACGCACTTAGAGTGGCGGTGGCTGTGGCTTCGCTCTGCGCGGTTGTTCGTGGACTCGTTGGCTTGTTGGATGCGCGGTATTGCACTTGGGGGAGAAAAGGCCTGCGCAGGCTTGAGAAACACGCGGAATTCAAACGTCGGTTGGCGGGCAAGTGAAGGGGCGGGGGTGTGCGCAGGGCGGAGAAGTGGCCGGGCCGGGGAGATGAGTGGGAGTCGCAGGGGAGATCGGTAGCCTGCGCTGGGCCGGAAACGCCCATTCCACGATGGTAGGTGAGTGGAACCGCATGCGACACGGCATGACCTTGGGAGATTCGACGTAGAGGACACGTGAGCCAATATTGTACAGGTGGTGGCGATGCTTTTCGCGACAAGTGCTCACCATAGTCGTTGCGACTGTCGCAATAGTTGGACGATTCAGATTGCGTGAACTTGATTATTAATGGCTCGATGCAGTCGCTCAAGCACGTCCATGACGCGCTGGTAAATCTGCAAGACGTCGCCTTTCAGGTTCGAAGCGCGTAGTTTCCGAACCATCAACCTCCGCACGTCGGATGAAGGTGGAGAAAACGCGGTACGAAAGCCTAGAAGTAGGCCCGTTTGCCTTTCGCGACACTGTAGCGGGGTTTTGGTGAGGCCCAAACCCTGCTGTGGATTGGTTGGTGAATATTTGCTGTCAGCCATGCCAGCAGAGCCTCACCTGATGACACCTGAAAACAGTTACAGCATTGCACAGTGCATGCCAGCACATCATCGCACTGTGCGGAATCGATCCGTTCGCTATTGTCACACAGCACGAAGCAGCTTCGTTGTGAGATGTGACTGGTTTGACTGAATCTCACCCCGTGAGGTGACCGTCCACGACCGTCCACGCCGAGCCCAGACCTTGACGGTCATCGTCACCGACTACACGGAGCTGTCTTTCTCGATATATGATCCACGCTGGAAAATGTAGTAATTTGGCTTGCTGTTCCTGACTGCTGCACTTAGTATCGGTACATTCCTGGAGCGCGTCACAAAAGCCTCGCGTCTCAAAAGACGAGATACAGTGCGGTGGAGAAGCTCGTTGCTTAGGTTTAATGCGGTGCAGAGCGGTACACTGCTTTTGTGACGCCCAAATGGAAGACATGTTTTAGCAGCAATCCTGCATTATGTACCGCCCTTCAGGCCAAAAAAAAAAAGGCATGTGATTTCAGGGTTTAGGGTTATGAGGTGTGATGCTATACAGTTGGCAAAAGACATCTTGTTTCACTGCAGTTACCGGATCAAAATATAATGGCATACATTGCCTAATGAAGCAGCTTATGCAGCAACTGGGGCAGCATTTAGGGCCTTGAGGGGGTTGGTGATAACCGCATCAATCAAGCCATACTCCTTGGCCTCAGTTGCACTCATGAAGAAATCGCGATCCGTATCCTGGTAGAGCAAGGGCAAGAGAGCATGAGAGAAAAAGCAGGGGCAAGGGAGAATGGGAACTTCGAGATATATTCAAACATTGGCATTAATCAAGATGCCTGGATCACAAATCAACGACAGTATGCTATCGTTCGAGGCACCAATCTCAGCTGCACAGTCTTCAAATATGGTCGAATAATTACCACTCAGTAATCGTTCAGATTGGTCTCAGCACAGCACAGTATGAGAGCACCTCGAGGTCTCAATGCCCTCACTGCTCACCTTCCATGCTCTGACAAGCCCTCACTGCTCGCCTTCATGCTCTGACATGCCCTCACCTTCATGCTCTGACATGCCCTCACTGCTCACCTCATCACCTGTACGATCCTCTCACCTGGACGATCTGGTCATAGGATTGACCGGTGTGGTACGCCAAGTAACCGTTCAGGTTCGCCTTGTGATGCAGAATCTCGTTAGCCTGAATCTCAATGTCTGTCTGCTGTCCCTGTGCTCCTCCCAGCGGCTGATGGATCATAATACGGCTGTTGGGCAGGCTGTAGCGCTTGCCTGGTAACACGAGTGTGGTGGGGGGGAAGGTATGACAACGAGGGTATAAGAGAACATAATACGACTGTTGGGCAGGCTGTAGCGCTTGCCTGGGATAACGAGGGAAAGGAGAGGAGAGAGCGAATGGATTTGGGTGGGGGGGATGGGTGGAAAGAATTTGGCCGCGTATGCCCATGTGATCGCACTGACGACAAGTAATTAAAGAGCAACAACGAGAGGCAATGGGTGGAGTGCTAACATACATGCGGCTCCTCAGTCGAAACAGGCCACAGGTGGCAGTTCCAAGGAGGCATAAGAGATCAGCTCAGAATAGACCAACACACCTTTTGTTCCTGCTGACAGGAGGAAGGCTCCCATACTGCACAAGAAGGACGGTACGCAAGGCACCCAGACAACAAAACACAGAGTGGAAGGGAAAGGGTGAGGAAAAAAAACGAGGCAAGGGTACGAGCGGGCAAGCATGCCTCTCTGGAACAATGCTGACCTGGCAGCAAGACCGACAGACGCAGAACTGACACACATGCACCCAACTCACACGCCACTTCCCCTCCCTCCGCTCCTCCCCCCCTCCACCCCCCACAGTGCGCCTTATGCGTGCACCATATTCACAAAAATGCTTCCATATCTTTAAAGGGCATGAGTGGAGGGAGCTGGCAAATATGCCACTCTCTGACACAATGCTGACCTGGCAGCAAGGCCGACACACACGGTGCTGACGTCAGGCCGGATGTGGCGCATGGTGTCAAAGATGGCCATGCCTGGGAGAGGGGGAGAACCGAGGACGGGGGGAGAGGACAGGGGGAGAGGACGGGGGGAGAGGACGGGGGGAGAGGACGGGGGGAGAGGACGGGGGGAGAGGGGAAGATGGGAAGATGGGAGGGTTATGGGAAGGAGGCACTGGCATCAGTGGCACATGGTGTCAACGATTGCCAGGCTCTGAGTGACGAGGATGGGGGATTGGAGGGGGAAAGGGAGTGGGGGGGAGAAGCACGAGAGAGGGGGCTTGGGATGATTGAATGGTGCTGTCGTCACGCCAGATGTGGCGCATGGTGTCAATGGCCATGCCTGGGCGGGGTGTGGAAGGGGGGAAGGGGAAGGGAGAAGGGGGGAAGGGAAGGAAGAAGGGGGGAAGGGAAGGAAGAAGGGGGGAAGGGAAGGAAGAACGGAAGGGGTGGGAAACGCGGGAGGAACGGCGGAGGCACGCGTCAGGCCGGATGTGGCGCATGGTGTCAATGGCCATGCCTCAAGGGAAAAGGAGGGCGGGGCAGGAAATGAGTCTCTCAAATTCGTTTCGTCTCCCTCCATTCAGTCATCCCTCGCCCCTCCCTCGTATTGGTGCAGCCCTCCCTCCCACTCTCCCCACTCGCCATTCCCCAACCTCCACCCGCCGTTTCCCAGTCCCCACCGGCCGTTCCCCACTACCCCACTCATCCTAATCCCCGCACTCACCAGCAGTAACGGAACCACCAGGCGAGTTGACGTACATGATGATGTCCTGCATTCAAAAGGAGGGGGGAGGGGGGGGGAGAGAAGAGGGGTGGATGGGAGGGGAAAGGTGGGGGGGAGAGTGTGAATGAGCAGCCACGGAACCACCAGACGAAACTGATGGTGTCCTGCGTTGGTAATGAGATTGGTGGGACGGAGGGAGGGAGCGGCAGGGAGTGGGAGGAGTTAGGGAGAGAAGGGAGAGCGAAGGGAGCTTTTGAGTCGACTCAAAAGGGAGCGGCAGGGAGTGGGAGGAGTTAGGGAGAGAAGGGAGAGCGAAGGGAGCCACCAGGCGAGTTGACGTACATGATGATGTCCTGCGTTGAGGGGGGGGGGGGAGGGGGAGGGGAGAAGGGGGGAAGGGAAGGGTGTGGGGGAGGGGTTGGATGGGGGGGATGGGATGGTTGCGGCGACGAGAGAGAGAATGGAACCACCAGGCGAGTTGACATACATGATGTCAAGGGAGAACCACACAGGAGCCAGGCAGCACCATTCGAGGGAGGAATCGGAGAGTGGGGAGATGGGGAGGTTGTGAGGGGGAGCAAGGGAGCCGAGAGTGGTGCAGCGGAAAAAGTAGGGAAGTAACAGACGAGTTGACGTGTGGAATAGCGGGCTTAATTGGAAGGAGGAGGGGAAGAGCCGGGGAGGGTTTGAAGGGGGGGGGGGGGGGGGGGGGGGAGGGGAGGAGAGGAGGAGAGGGGGGGATAGGGGGAAAAGGGAGGATGGGGGAGAAGGGGGCGGGGAGGGGGGGAGCGGGGGGGGGAGGGTGAAGGGGCGAGCGAAAACAGGCTTTTGGGAAAGAGCTATGATGCGAACCTATTGATGAAATTGACGGCTGCGATTGACTCACCTTGGTGGGATCAACGGCGTCGAGGTACAGCAGCTGCGCCACGATGAGGTTCGCCATGTCATCGTCCACCGCGCCGCCGCACCGGATGATGCGCTGAAGGGGGAAAAAAGGGGGAGGGGGGAGGGGGGAAGGGCGAAGGGGTGGGAGGGCGAGGGGGAGGGCGGGCCGAGGGGAAGGCGTAACGTGTGAGGAGAGAAGGGGGTTGCCACGATGAGGATCGCCGTGTCGTCGTCCACTGCGCCGCCGCACCGGATGATGCGCTGAAGGGGGGAGAAAGGGGGGAAGGGCGAGGGAGGGATGCAGGCCAAGGGGAAGGCGGGACGTGTAAGGAGAGAAGGGGGGTGTATCGATGAGGTTCGCCCTAACGTCGTCCAATGCGCTGATTGGTGGGAAGAGGAGGGGGGAGAGGGGGAACGGAGAGGGGACGGGGGCGGGGGGGGAAAGAGGGTATTGCGTCAGGAAGACAGCAGGTTGGCAGGGAGAAGGAAAGGTGCACCCCTCACCTAATGGTGCGGTAAAGGGAGGGGAGTGCGGAGAACGGGTGAAATGCGGGAAAGTGGATTGCGGGTATGTGAGGGGACGTGAGGGGATGTGAGCGGATGGGAAAGGGGCGGGAGTAATTGGCGGGTAACAAACTATTGGATACCATTGCTATCCCATTAACCCCCCTCAAACGCACGAACACCCGGGACGGGCTAAGCCACGTGCCCGACTGAAACGTACGTACGTTTTGAAAGAGCTGGGAGATAACCGACTGGAAGCGCTCCTGCAGCATGGGGGGCGGCGCTCCTTGCCCCGCCATCACCTCCGGTGCGCCCATGAACAGACTCTGCGGCACTTCCAGATCGTTCCTGGGGTGGTTGGGGGAGGGGGGGGGAGGGGAGGGGATTGCGCGGAAGGTTAAACAATATTTTTTTGGGGGGGGGATGGGTGGAGGGGGTGGTGGGAGGGAGGGGGGAGGGAAGAAGGAAGGGGATGAGAGAATGAGGGGAGAGCGGAACGCAGGAGAAAATCCACAAATTTCGCCTCCGACTACTCCTCCAAGCGAGGACAAAAAAAGTGAATTACTCTGTTTGCATTATAAACATAACCGCATTGCGCATTATGTAGATTGGTTTCGTACTCTGCATTGTGCATAATGAACTGCGTTTTCCTCGCGGGAACTCACTTGATGGACCAGATATCGCCGCTGTTGGCGGCAGAGTTCGGGGTCCAAAGGCGCTCCGAGCGGACGGCGCTGCAGCGCACGCCGGCAGCGGATGCGCGGCTGAGGCAGGGGGAGAACACGCGGAGAAAGGAAACACATCGGGGAGAATTGAAGAGGCGGGAGGAAAGGGGAGAAGGGGGAGCGGAAGGGAAGGGGAAGGGGACGGGGGTATGGGAAGGCAGGAAGTGGGGGAGGGGCGAGATGGGGAGGAATAAGTAGGGAACGACGGAAACTATAGAAGATTGAAGGGAGGCAGAAGAACGATCGGCAAGCCAGTTGAAATCGATCGCTGACCGTCGATTCTCGGGTACATAATCTGGTAGCTCAGCAGACAATGCACAGGATCGATCACCATCGATTGCCTACGCGGGCTTAGTTCAAACCCGCAGATACTGAAAGTGTCGAAAACATTGAAAGTAATCGCCAGATCGGACGTGAGATGTCGAAGGTCTGCTGAATCCCTACTCCACAACGTACTGCGCAGGCCGCATAGACGAGACGAATTAGGCTTCTGGCAACGCACAGACTAGACGTGATTGCTACGCATTGCGCATCAAGAATGAATCACGAAGCATGCACTGTAAGCTAGCATATCTAAGCAACGGAAACTACTAAAACAACGCCTGCTCACGCTAGCGAGACTCTACAACACCTCATCTAGAAACAACGGAATTTAAGCCTCTCTGAACTAGCGCCTTCATCACACGACCTCGTAACACTACATCGGTACTACCTCGTCAGTACTTCGGTAACTCTACCTCGGTACTACATCGGTAACACTACCTGGGCGCGGCCATCTGTAGTCTCTTGTGCTGGCTCGCCTTCAGGCTCGTGCTACCCACGAAGGCTGACGGCTTCACAGCCGCTGCCGTCTGCATCGTAACGGCCGACATGGTCTTTGCCGGTTGATCGGTTATTGACGACGGCTGATCTTCCGTGCAAAGACAAATTCTGGGACGATCACAGCACAGAGAGACTAAGCAACTCCCAGAAGCAATAACTACAGGCTAGGAGGAAAGCTAGCCTCAAGAAAACTATTCAAGGAATTTCGGAGTCCTAGGGTTCCAGGGAGGAAGTTCCAGAAAATGCAGATGCTGGAACTATTCATTCGTACACCTCCGTACAGCAGCAAATGCTGGCCGTTGGATAAATGAATATCCGAATCGACCCTTGAGAACTTTGTGTTCTTGAAGTGGGGCGCACAGAAGGTCGTGTGCGACAATGGCGCAGGAGAATCTAGACGGCGGAGCTGGAAAGGGCAACGTCATAGGTGATGAGGCGACGTGGCGAATAGAGACTGAACACGCAGCGAATAACGCTACGCCACGCTGGCGCGGATGTGACGGCTGTCGTGTTCAGCTCCACCATCAAAAGCAAAACCAGCTGTAGAATATTGTTACGAGTGCAATTGAGTGAACGAACGAGAATTGCACTATCTAAGCAAGCAATACAAATGAGCGAAGGCATGAGCGAACATTATATAGCGAAACTACAGTGGTAACGGTAATGGTCGCGCGACGAGCCTGGGACTGAGGTTGGGAAAGTGTCGAAGCGTAGGTCCGGAGCGCGGGTTACCAGCCGAGCCGTGGGGTCGGGATGCGATGTGCGAAAAGGGCGGGATGATGAATGATGCGATGGTCGCGAGTGGTAACGGTGCTGACTGAGGTGCTACAGTGATGTACGCGTTGAGCAGGGACGCGAAGTAAGGAAAAGGGAATTTCCTTACACTACCCCCCCTCCTAAGGAGGTCCTCCTTATGAAAGCGCGTGGATGTCTCGGAAATTGCGGCTACGCAGGTAGTCGGTGACGACGGGGTGATTTTCAACTTTCTCCAGGGGAACCCAATTGTCCTCGGTGGGGGTACGATCTTTCCAGCGGATCAGAAACTCCACTTTTCGGGCTCCTCGAGGGTCGCGAACTCTGTGGCTCAGGATCTTGTCGGGGGTGATGACTGGTTCGGTTGGGGGTCGTGTCATGCTGGTGGGTCGATGTCGTGGGAGTTGGCTGGTGGATGGCACGTAAGGGCGAAGTAAGCTGACGTGGAACGAGGGGCTGACGTACCAGTCAGCAGGGAGGAGGAGGTGTGCGGTGACTGGCGTGACCATGTGACTGATTCGAAATGGCCCACAGTATCGAGGGCGGAGTTTTGGAGTGATGGGCAGGCGGAGGTTCTGAGTGTCGAGTAAAACGAGGTCGTCGGGCTGATAAGTAACGGGTCTGCGATGGCGATCGGCGTTGCGTTTAGCGATGATGTTTGATTTTTTGATTGCTTCTGCTGACCTGGTCCGTGCTGCTTGCAGAATCTCGGCGAACTGTTGTGCTCGTGGGACGGGGTTGTCAGGATTCGGTGTCATGGGTACTGTTGGGTCCTGTCCGTAATTTAAGTAAAACGGCGACTGTTGCGTCGTGGCTGATGGTGCGTTATTGTATGCGAACTCGATGAGTGGGAGCTGCTGTTCCCACGTATTCGGATCGTCGCACGTGGCTCGAATCAGCTGCTCCCTGGTCTGATTCGTCCGTTCCGTCTGTCCGTCGGTTTCGGGGTGATAGGATGAACTGAACTGTAAGCGCGTGCCGAACTGCTGCCACAGGTTCCGCCAGAAGTTGCTTGTAAATTTCGTGTCTCTGTCGCTGATGATCGATGCGGGTATCCCGTGCAGTCGAACGACGGTGGTGATGAAGAGTCGGGCGGTTTCCTCGGCTGTGATTGATTTCCTGCATGCTGCGAAATGAGCCATCTTCGTTAGTCGATCGACGACGACCAGGATCGCGTCATTCCCACTCGCCCCAGCTGGTAACCCCGTGACGAAATCCATCGTCACCTGCTGCCAAGCACGCTCTGGGGGCGGGATGGGTTGTAATTGTCCCGCCGGCCGCTTCCTGCTTGACTTCATGAGCTGGCAAGTGGGGCACGATGCCACGTGTCGTTGCACATCGGTCAACATTTCTGGCCAGTAGTAGTACCGCTGTAGCTGCTGCCGTGTTTTTTCTACCCCGAAATGTCCCGAGGTAACTCCGTCGTGTGCTTCCTGTAACAGTAGTTCCCGCAGTAGCGTGTATCCTGGTACCCAGATGCGGTCGGTTCCAGATTTTACGTAATAGACTCCTTTTGCCGCTGCGAATTGCTGTGAGTTGCCTCCTGTAAAGAACGGGTCTGTTTGATATCCGTGGGTAAATAGGCCTGTCAGTAGCGGGCTGGTCTGGGCGAGTAGTATCGCGTGGATCTGGGCAGTGGGGCGGGTCATTGCGTCGGCGATATTCGAGGCTCCTTTTTTGTATGTGACCGTATAGTGAAAATTCGACTCGAGGAAATCGAGCCATCGAATCTGCCGTGGGTTGAGGTGGGGCTGTGCGCGGAGGTACTGTAGAGATCGATGGTCTGTCCGTACTGTCACGTCTGCGCCGGTCAAGTAGCAGCGCCACACTTTGAATGCGTGCACGATCGCGAGCATTTCGCGGTCGTGTATCGGGTAATTTCGCTCAGGCGGATGTAGTTTGCGTGATTCGTAGGCGATGGGTTGGAGGCCGTCGCCGAAGTCCTGTAACAGTACAGCTCCGATGGCGATGTCACTTGCGTCGGTAACCACTTCGAAAGGGCGGTGGGGATCAGCGATGCGTAGAACGGGTGGTGAACAGAGAACGTTTTTCAGGGCAGAGAAGGCAGCATGCTCTTTCTCCCCCCACGTAAAAGCGACCCCCTTACGCAGTAAATCAGTGAGTGGGGCTGTTAAACGTGCCATGTCGGGCACGAACCGTCGAACGTAATTAGCAAAACCTAAAAAACTCTGCAGTTCCGTGATGTTCGTCGGGGGGCGCCACGCTTTTACCGTATCCAGCTTCTTTGGGTCAATCTCAACCCCAGCCTCCGAAATGACGTGACCTAAAAACTCTAGCCTGTCCCGAAAAAACTCGCACTTGGAGCCCTTGGTGAGTAGCCGATGTTCCTCCAAAACCTTAAAAACTGCTTCAAGATCCACTATGTGCTGCTGCTTATCCCGGCTGTAAACTAGAATATCGTCCAGGTAAACTATCACGCATTTATCTAAAAGTGGTCTAAACGCCTCGTTCATAGTCATCTGAAATGTCGCAGGCGCGTTCGTCAGCCCGAATGGCATTACTGTATACTCGAATGACCCGTACCTAGTCCTAAATGTTGTTTTGGCGCAGTCCGATGGTTCGACCCGAATCTGATGGTAACCTCCCCGTAAATCTATTTTCGAAAAGACTCGTGCTGTTCGCAGTTGGTCGATCAGTTCGTCGGCGAGGGGATGGGGTATCGCGATTTGACTGTTACCCTGTTAAGCGCTCGATAGTCGATGCACATGCGGAAACCTCCGTCTTTTTTCGGTGTGAACAGTATCGGTGCGGCGAACGATGACGAGCTCGGTCGGATAAAGTGCATCTCTAACAGGTAATCTAACTGCTTCCTTAACTCGTCGAGCTCGGGCTGTGTCAGTCGAAATTGCCGCTGTACAGTTGGCTGTGCCCCCGGTTCTAACTCGATCCTATGGTCGCGCGCCCGCTGAGGTGGCAGTTTCTGTGGTAAATCATCCGGAAATATCAGCGGGAACTGTTTCAGTAGTGCCTGTAGTTCGGTCGGTACAGTTGCCAGCAGTTTCTCCAAATCACTCGGCTGCTCATCTTTTTCTACGAGTGCGATATCCACTGCGTACACGTCAGCTCCAGCAGCGACAGCCCGTTTCATCGTGATGGCGTTGACCTGGACCGTCGAAGATTTGGGTGGCTGCCAGCGAGGTAGAACGACCCAGTTACCACTACTTCGCACTGTGCAGCTCCCCGTCGTCCAGTCGATCCGTGGGTTGTACCGTCGCAGCCAATCACGTCCCAATAAAATGTCGTGCCCATCCAGTGTCGTCGCGAGCATTTCCTGTGTAAACTCGAAGTTTCCCCCGCAGCGGACTTTTACGCGCTCCACCTTTTCCCGTATGGCCAGGGGCGTGCCGTCGACTAAGCGTGCATCTATCTCAGGTAAACATCGGTTAAGCGGTAACTGTAATTTTCGTGCGGTTGCGGTATTAACTAAGCTGTGGCTTGCTCCTCCGTCAATGAAGATCTTCACTGCTGCTCCCTGTATTTTCCCGTAGATCAGTACCGGGCAATCCGTCGTTGTACCCTCCTTATTCATCCGAGCCCGATCGATGGCGTGAATCGGTACTGTGACTCGGTGAGGGTCGGTGTGGTTGGGCGAGCAGGCAGTCTCGTCAGTAGTTGGCCCAACTTCTACTGACTGCTGGCGTTTCCCTGCCTCTGAGACTCCCTCCCCTGCTCTGCTCCTCGACGCCTCAGCTCCTCTGGACATTCGCTCTTGCGATGGCCCGGCCGGTTGCAAGCAAAGCAGCGCCCTCTAAACGGCGCGGCAGCTGCATTCGCTGCAACGGCATGTACAGTGGCGTGCTCGGTCGGTCCCCGAGGACGATGTCCGTAATAGGACCCCGGTCTCGGTCGGCGTAGGATATCGATTTTCTCGGCGCGCGCGAGGATCTCGTTGAAATTCGAGAGCCCGCGTAGCATTATCTCGTGCGAGATGTCCGGCTTCAGCCCTCCGACGTAACGGTCCACCCGCTCTGCCTCGTGCATGTAGCCGACCTGTTCGCAAAGTGCGAGAAACCTGCTGATGTAGTCTTGAACTGACCTGAGCTGGCGCCAAGTGCGCAGTTTCTGACGCGCCGAAATCGAGGCCGCGATCGGCTCAAAGCGCGCCCGAAGCCCTGCGCACCACGCATCCCACGTGCTGTATTGGGCGGTTTCGCAGAACGAACTCCAGGTAACGGCTGGACCCGAGGGCCCTTCCTCGTGCGACGGTGGCTCGTAGGCGCGCGGCGACGTCACAATGACTCGCCACTAGTTCATGGCGGGGCCCCTGAGAAGTGAAACCGCATACCGGATCTTGGCGGCGTCCGACTCGACGTAGTTGGCGTCGAAAAACACATTCATCGTGAAGACCCACGATTGAACTGTCGGGCCGCCGCGTTGGCTTGGGTCGAAGCAGGGCGGGCGTTGCGGCTTGAGTGGCATTGGGGCCATCATGGCGTTCTCGCCACTTGTCGCCGCAAACTCCACGTGCCGACGGGCTTCTCGGGGCTCCCGTGGGCTTAATGCGCTCCTGTTCCCTCCCATGCCGGGCATCGGTTGGGCTGCGCCGTCACTGGCTGCGCCTGAGCGCTGTCCCGTGCTGTTGTGTTGCGTTGGTGTGCCAGATGAGATGACGATGGGCTCCTCCGAATGTGCAGATGCATTGGTTGGTGCATGTGATGTCGTCGGTACGTTCACCGTTGACTGTTGACGGGCGGAGTCACGTTCCGCCGTGAGAGTCGCGATTTGGAGCGCCGAATCCTCCAATTGACGCACGAGACGATCGAGTTGCTCTTGCGTCAACGTGGCGAGATTGAAATCGGCCATGGCGGGGGTGTCGGGCAAGCTCAGCGAGAGCCTCGGTCGTGGCCGTGCGTGCTTTCGAGAGAGCACTACGAGCGGCGGTGCTGTGTCGCTGAGAGACGTCTACCCCCCCCAAAAATTGAGATAGTGGGAAGCGAAGGTGTGGATGCGGTCCGAGATGAGATCGTAGGCTCTGAATACCAAGTGTTACGAGTGCAATTGAGTGAACGAACGAGAATTGCACTGTCGAAGCAAGCAATACAAATGAGCGAAGGCATGAGCGAAGATTATGTAGCGAAACTACAGTGGTAACGGTAATGGTCGCGCGACGAGCCTGGGACTGAGGTTGGGAAAGTGTCGAAGCGTAGGTCCGGAGCGCGGGTTACCAGCCGAGCCGTGAGGTCGGGATGCGATGTGCGAAAAGGGCGGGATGATGAATGATGCGATGGTCGCGAGTGGTAACGGTGCTGACTGAGGTGCTACAGTGATGTACGCGTTGAGCAGGGACGCGAAGTAAGGAAAAGGGAATTTCCTTACAAATATACACATGAGATGTATGTTCAACTAAACAAAATACATTCAAATCCATCATTTACAGAGATAAAATTATCTCATCACACTTCATTCCACATCCTTAAAGCTCTTTTTTTCATACACACCATCCTTCCCTCTCACCCAGACGTCTCCTCTATGCTCCATCACATCTAAACTCGCGCTATTTCGCACATAACCTCCCTTTCTACCTCTAAAATTATGTTCACTCAGAATTTGTTCCTTCCCGCTGTGCCAACCACGCCTCCTTGTCAGAGGACCTTCCTCATGGACGCCCTTATTTTCCGAATGTGCAATCCTCTTTGAGCCAGCAGTATCCGACCCATGAAAATCTCCTCCATTCCTCTTTTCTTCCCCCACTTTCCCTTCCCAACCTTCCATATCACCTTGCTTCCCTCGTCTTCCTCCCACCCTCCACTCATCTTGCACCTCCCAATCAGTCAAATCCCCCTCTCTCACCTCCCTCATCTCTCCTCCCACCTTCCATCGTGCCTCCCTCCCTCTCCTCCCCCTCTCCCATCCATACCCCTCCTCTTCCTCCTGTAAAGCAGTCTTCCCTGCATCAAACTGACCAGATCTACCTCCCCCAGAAGCCTCCACCTCCCACCGCCCATTTCTTCTGAACACTCGGTCCATGCTAGTGTCCATTGCTGAATCCGGCACCTCCCTTCCTGTTGCAGCCCTTCCTCCAGATACGGCCCAATTATCTGCTACAGCCCTTCCTTCTGCTACAGCCCTCTCTCCTGCTACAGCCCTCTCTCCTGCTACAGCCCTACCTTCTGCTACAGTCCTTTTCCCTGATACAGCCCTATCGTTCGCCTCAGCCAACTCCCCTACTGCAGCCCTGCCTTCTGCTGCTGTACTTTCTCCTGATACAGCCCTGTTTCCTGCCAGAGCCCTCTCTCCTGCTTCTTTGGGTCGTGGCGTATCTCTCACTGACAGCGGAGTATGAGCAGCAGGGTAAGCAGGGGCAGTAGGGTAAGCAGGGGCAGCAGGGGAAGCAGGGGCAGCAGGGGCAGCAGGGAAAGCAGGGACAGCAGGAGAATGAGCAGCAGGGGCAATTGAGGTGTTTGCCATGCTCTCTCTCTTGTCCCGATTGACTATGGCAGCAGGCGGAGGAGTGGCAGCAGCAATAGCAGACGCAGCAGGAACAGCAGGAGGAGCAGAGGCAGCAGGGGCAGCAGGAGCAGCAGAGGCAGCATGAGGAGCTGGAGCAGCAGCGGCAGCAGGGGCAGCAGGAGCAGCAGAGGCAGCAGGAGGAGCACGGGCAGCAGGAGCAGCAGGGGCAGTTGAGCTGTCTGCCATGCTCCCTCTCTTGTCCCCAGTGAAAGTGGTGGCAGGCGGAGGGACAACAGGAGCAGGGGTAGCTGTGGCAGCGGTAGCTGCAGCAGGGGCAGTTGCAGCAGGAGCCGTTGGCGAATGGGCAACTGTAATGGGACCAGAGCCAAAAGACTCTTGAGACGTCTCAAAAGCTGTAGCAGGAGCATGGGCAGCTGTCGTGCGACCAGAGCCAGAAGCAGCAGAAGCAGCAGAAGCAGCAGCGGCGGCTGAAAGAGCAGAGGCAATTCGAGCCATGGCCATTGCAGCAAAGAGAGCAGTTGCAGCTGCTGCAACCTCTTTCCCTGTAAACACTGCTACCTCCTTGCTCGATGCTCCTGTTGCTTCCTCCTCTGCTGCCTCTGCTGCCTCTGCTGCCTCCTTGATCGATGCTGCTTCTGCCTCTGTGGCTTCCTTGCTACCGATTGCAGTATCCACTGTAGCCACGTTACCTGCACCACCAAAACCAGCGGCAGCACCACCACCAGCAGCTGCAGCATCACCACCATTTGGGACATCCATGAAATCACCCACTCCTTCCCCCATTGCCCCATCTAGAGAAATCTCCCCTTCTCTTTCTCCAGATGCCCCCTTTGAGTTAATTCCAACATGTGCTGCTGTTGCTGCTGTTGCTGCTGATGCTGTTGCTGCAGCAGCTGCTCCTGCAGCTGCTGCTTCTGCCGCGTCTGTTTCTGCTGCTGCTTCTCTCTCTGATTTTGTTGCTGCTGCTAATCCTGCCTCTGCTCCTTCTTCTGCTTCTGCTTCGTCTTCAGCTGCTGCGTTCTGTTGTGTTGCAGCCGCTGCCCTCTCTTGCTTCTCAGATTCCTTGCTACCGATTGCAGTATCCACTGTGTCATTGTATTCCCTCCCCGACTCTCTCCCTTCTCCTGATTTCGCATCCTCTTCTCTTCCATCCAAAGTATCTTCCACGCTCCCCTCCTCATTCAACTCTCTCCCCTCATCTAACCGAACTCCCTCCCTTGATCCTTCTCCCTCACCCTCTCCCTTCCTTTCTTCTCTCTTCCCTTCTTCTCCCTTCGCTTCTCCCTCACCCACTCCCCTCCCTACTCCCTCACCTTCTCCCGTCCCTTCTCCCTCACTTTCTCCCTTCTCATCCCCCCCCTTGTACATGTGTGCAGGCGCAGACCTCTCTCCCTCGCCCATCCCCTTGTGTGTGTTTTTAGGCACCACCAAATCACTCCAAGAACCAGCAACCGCACTGGATGCCTCAGAACCACTGGGTGGAAGAGCCAGGGCAATGTCAGAACCACTACCTGTCGCTGGCAGCATCAAAGGAGTGCTCGAGCCTGCTGAAGAGCTGATATCTGACGTGGTTTCAGCGGCTGAAGAGCCTGCTCCTGTTACTTCAGTTGCATAGCCTGCAGCCTCTGCTATACTTTTGCCTGCAGCATCACCTGCTGCATTGACAGCAGCAGCAGCAGCAGCACCACCAGCAGCAGCAGCCACAGCAGCAGCACTAGGAGCAGAATCACGTGCAGCACCAATTCCACCATTAGCGCCACTAGTAGCATCAGCAACACTACCAGCACTCGCAGCATCAGCAGCAGCACTAGCACTATCATCAGCAGCAACAGCAGCACTACCAGCACCAGCAGCAGCACCAGCCACCACTCGTCGAACCGGACCCTCCTCCTCTCCCTCAGATAAGTTATCATCATACCCCCTTGCCACCCCTCTCTCCTCCCACCCTCCCTCCTCGTCCTCCTCATCCCCACCCAACAACCCCACCCACCTCCTCCTCCGCACCCCTCTCCACCCCTCACCAGCCCCTTCACTCCCTTCCAACTCCCCTGTCACGCCCTTCCTCCTCCCCCCAGGAACACCACACTCCTCTGTGTCCACAATAACCCCCACCTCTGCTCCCCTAACTGCTCCCCCTCTCTCCCTCCCACCTTCCCCTCTCCGCTCCTGCTCCTGTCCCTTATCCTGCTCCTCCTGATCCTTCTCCTTCTCCTTTCGCTGCTCCAGCCTTTGCTCTACCTCTTGCTTCTGCTGCAGCAACAGCTTCTCGTCCTTATCCTCCTTCTTCTCTTCTCTTCCATCCCTCCCCTCACTCCCCTCCACCTCATCTCCCTTCCCTGCACTCCCACTCCCAACCATCCAGCTTCCACCCTTCTCAACCACTTCTTTCTCCCTCTTCCAACTCCCATCCCCCATCTCCTCCTCCCACCCATCCGGAACCCTTAAAGCCACCACTCCAGCTGCTGCTGTAAACCCCACAGCCGCCGCTGCCGCCACCACCTTCCCTGCTTTTATCCCAAGCGGGGTGTCCTGCTGCTGAAACCGCTCTATCTGCTGCTGCAACCGCTCTACTTGACCCTGGAACCATTCCATCTGACCCTGAACCGCAGAGAAAAGCTGCAGACCTTGGTTCTCAATTCCGCTCAACATCCCATCGTCTCCCCTCCCATCCCCGTCCTCCCCTATCCGATTCTGACCCTCCATACGTGCTTGCACAGTAGCATCCCCTAGTGGCCTCTCCCCTATTTGGCTTGAGCTCACTCCGCCAATTCCTAACCCTTCCTCTGTGCTCTCAATCCCTTCCACTCTCATCTCAACCCCTACCTCCCCCCTCCCATTCCGTGCCCCCATAAGCGCCTGGACAGTGGGGTCCCCCTGAAGCCTCTCCACTGCTGCTGCCGCCCATGCATCCAGAGAAAGCCTTTCCCCTGAACTTTCCCCTGAAATTTCTCCTGAAATTTCTCCTGGTTCTGCTGAACTTTCCCCTGAAGCTTCTCGTGAGCGTTCGCCAGCATTTTCTCCTGAGCTACCACTCTTCTGCTCCTCGGATTGACCTTTGCCCCCATCAACCGGTATGGCTGTAGCAGATTCAGATACAGCTGCTGCTGGAGCCGCTTCTGCTGGCGCTTCTGCTGCAGGTGGCGCTGCTGCTGCCGCTGCTGCTGCTAATGAGGGTGCTTCTGCTGGTGCTGCTGATGACACTGGTGGTGATGATACTGATGGTAACGACACTGGTGGTACTGGTATTGGTACGGGTACTAGTGCTGGTACTGGTGCTGGTACTGGTGGTGGTGGTGGCAGGGGCAGTGGTTGCCATGCGGGAGGGGGTGGTGGCAGGAACTGTAAGGGTGGCTCGAGAAGAGGAGGAGGAGGAGGAGGAGGAGGAGGAGGAGGAGGAGGAGGAGGAGGAGGAGGAGGAGGAGGAGGAGGAGGAGGAGGAGGAGGAGGAGGAGGAGGAGGAGGAGGAGGGGGAGAGGGTATGTTTGAAACACCAAAGACAGGGTTTCCGGACGAGGGAAGCCCATCTGAATCTGCTGACTCCTGGTGCTTCCCTTGGGGAAACCCTGCTGCTGCTCCCTGCTGTCCCTGCTGCCCGCCCAGCTGCTGCTGCTGCCCGTTTTGCTGCTGCCCGCCCTCCACCCCTGTGTGGCGCGCAGCAGTGAGCAGCTGCTGGAAGAACCCCACCAGTTCACCGTCTGACATCACACGGAACCTGCACACACCGCATGGAACCACCATGTAACATTCAAAAGGGGGGGAGGGGGGGGTGAGAATTATGATTGGATTCGTCTTGGGGCAGTAAGCAGCTGCTTTCCCCACAGGCAGAGACAGAGACACTGGGCGGCACAGGGAGGAGATCCCTACCTTCTTGATGGCACGTACCTCTGCGCCAGCTGCTCCCCCCACGCCACCCCCTTCCCCCACCCCACTGCTCGCCCCCAATTCCCCCCCCACTACAAAGCACATACCTCTGCGCCAGCTGCTCCAGCGCTGCTACGAGCTGCTCCAGTGAAGGAAACGGACGGGTTGAAGGAGGACGTGCGCGCTGGAGCAGCGGTTGCTGTCCTCCACCTGCTCCCTCGCACGTGCTCCTCTTCACCTGCCCACCCCCCACTACATGGCACGTACCTCTGGACCAGCTGCTCCGCTAAAAGCTGCTCCAGCGAAGGAAACCCACCACCTGCCCCCCCCCCACCTGCTCCCTCCCTCCCACGTGGCCCCCCATTCACCCACTTGCCCCCTCCCACGTCCCTTCCCTCCCCCCTGCTCATCCCCACCTGCTCCCCTCCCCCACCCCAATACATGGCACGTACCTCTGCGCCAGCTGCTCGGCTAGAAGCTGCTCCAGTGAAGGAAACACGGGAGCTGCCCCCCCTTTTCTGGCACAGACAAAGCTGTATAGGCGACCGGAGGTGACCCTGACAGGAAAACCCCACCTCCCTGGTAAGGAAGGAAAGTTGGATAGGTGACAGAAGGAGCAATGCTTGTGGAGGGAGGAACACTGATGGAGGGAGCGATGCTCCCAGACGTGATCGTTGTGTCGGTTAGAGATGGTATGCTGTCATCCTGGCCGTTGAATGCAAGCAACGGTGCTACGATGCTATCCCGGCCGTTGAACGCGAATGTGTATCTCCCGCTGCTGCTGAATGCCATGCTGCGTGTACTCCCCTCCGTGCTACCGAGATACATGGATCTGTCAGTGCCATATGACGTATCATGATTGTCAAACGAGGAGTCATGATTGCCAGTGGCGGTTGTCGCAGCTCCAGCAGCTGTGGCAGCGGTAGCGGCAGCTGTACCAACGGCTGTAGCAGCAGTAGCAAAAGCAAACGGGTGATGGTCAGAGAGACCAGGAAGAGGACTCAGAACCAGCGAACCGCTCAGCACCGCACTGCACACAGCCTGCAGCACCGACTTGCCAGTACAGGCAAGCCTGGTGTTCAATCCTTCGCGTGCTGTATTTCCCATGTGCGCTCCACCGTCAGGCATTCCCAGCACACCCCGTTCACGTGGCAGGGAATTCTCAGCTGCTCCTGCCTCACGTGCTGCGTTTCCCACATATGCTCCAACTTCAGGCATTCTCACCACACCCCGATCACGTGACAGGTAGAGATCAGCAGCTTCGGCGGGTCTATCTTCTTCTCCGCTTGGTGGCCGCCGTTCCTCTCCCTGTTGCTCCCCTTCCGCTCCTTGAGTACTCACCCCAGGTGCCCCTTCCGCTCCTTGTGTTCCCGTCCCAGCTTCCCCTTCTGCTCTAGGTGTTACCCCCCCTTCCGCTCGCTGTATCTCCACCCCAGCTTCCCCTGGGCCTCCTTCCGCGGATCCATGCGCGGCGCAACAGCGGCTACCAGCGCGGGACGGGGGCGCGGAAGCTGGCACGGGGAAGGAGAACGACCGGCAGCGGCGGAGAGCGGCGATCTTGTCGGACGGATGCAGGGAACGCGCGGGTAAGCGCGGATGAGGGGCGGGATTGTGCGGAACGGATGCAGGCGTGCGCGGGAAGGGGGAGGAAGTGGCGGAGGAGGGAGGTGGTGCCAGCGCTACTGCCGACGCGGAAAGATGGACGGCCATGATGACACGCTTGATTCCGCATTCACACTACCGTTGCCTTGAACTTCCCTGAGGTGATCGACCTCGATCGACCTCGACCTATCGAACTTGAACAAACTACGAGCCTACACTACAGCCCTCCAACATCAGCAGAGGTTCGACGTTTCTTTTATCAATCTTCCAGTAAGCTACCTTGTTGATCATTTCTACCGTATCTTCGAAGGCTGGGTGGGGTAGAGAAATGCGGGCACTGCACGCTGCTGGGTGGCTACGGAGCGGAGGAATGTCGCTTGCTTAGGAGTTGCCGCCTAGAAGCTACCATAAGAATACGCGACACCAATTCATGCGATACAAAAAACCGGATGATGTGACACTTCATATACGGTATGAGGGCCAGGTTGTATGTTTCTTAGAATCCACCTAATGTAAGAAAATAGATGCATTCTGTGATATACGGGGGCCAGATTGAATGTTATTAAATAGATGCATGCAATGCAAGTCAGAACGTTTTTGCTTTTAGAGACATTTTTTTTATAGCTTCTAGCACAAAGCCTAGACATTATGGGAAAAGAACTGCATAGTATGGATATGTCATTATGAATAAGTGATAATGGTTTTATGTTTTATAAATGTTTCAATTCGGCTGATTTATGCCAAATCCTTCATTCAGGAACTAATTTAGGAAACTAGTGAATTCTGGTTGCGGTTTTACCCCTCACATTCTGAGTTCTCTATTGCGTCCGCTAATACCGCACGATACTGGAGTGGCTTACCACCGGTGAATCCAAAACCACCCAGTATCGCGCATCGTCTCGCCGGTTTCGTCACTCTTCGTGAGGGCTTAGCTTTCGCCAGGCCTTTCTTTCATCTCCCCCTCCTCCCTGTGCTCTCCTCTCCTCCTGTTTGGCGAATAACTCGCCTTACCTCCCCTTGCTTCCCTCTCTTTAGTCGCAGACCCTAAGGACCTGCGCGCTCGGCGTCACACACGCTGCATCACCCCGTCTTAGTCGCAGGGTCTCACATACCCTCTCGCAGGTTAGAATGCGCTTCCAGACCCTGTTGTTCGGCTGTACTTCATTATGCTTGATTGATTAATGTAGAATCCAGGCTCACAGTTCCTCTACGTCTCGCGGTTCGCAGTCTCCTGTCACCCCGTTGTTATCGCGTCTCGTGTGATGTTTGGTCCCCGTCTCACGTCGTGCCACGTGTCGTGTGTCCATTCGTGCAGCCATGTTTACAGCGCGCAGAAAGATTCAGAAGGAGAAGGGTCAGGAGCCCGATGAGTTCGAGGAAACCGTCGCCCAGGTGCGTCGCATCGTGTCACTCACCGTTCGATGGCGTCACAATCTGCACAGGCCGTTCGATCGCGTTGCAGACCTGCTATGTTCCCTGATAGGCTCATACGGGTCACGGTCCTGCGGGATAATTGGTTTAGATTATGCAGTACTGGTGGAGCGCTCCTCAGACAATTGTCCTGGAGATTAACGGTCGTTACGGAGGTCAGGTCTCAGAGGTACAGTTCACTGTAGATAACGGAGAAAGAGTTGTTGGGTTAGTGTTGACGGCCGTCCGTGGAGCAGACCGCATTCAGTTCCGTCGGCCTTAGAGGAGGAAGCCGTGACGATCTGGTCGCACTCATTGGCGAAGCAGGCCGTTTTTAGTGCGTATCTTCAATCTCGCCAAAGCTTTATGCATGGCGACATCCACCGTCTCTGGAGTGCGTTTGACCGTAGACTCGACTAAGGAGCTGAGTTAGGGACCAGCCGAGCCATCGTTAGGGCTCTAACACGTAGGGACCAGTCGCAACTTAAAGGAGTTGTTAACGAACAGGTATCAGGTATCACGGTTACCCGATCAGTGTGCTGAAGCAGTTGAGACGTTGGTGAGACGGTCGAAAGGAATGGCTGGCGAACGAAGAGTGGTCGGTTGGATCGAATTACCGTGCCAAGGCATTCTGGAGCAGGGTTAGGGTTTCGAGGATTCAAAGTCCAACATGAGGTTCTCTGTCGATTGAATATTATCGGAATGTCGGTCGAGCCTGCTGTCTGGCGGTCCCCAGGTAACGATATTCAGCCTCGGTTAGAATTAGCGCGCTAGTTTCCAGGCGCTGGGGCTTGCCTAGATATGCTTAGTTCACACATCAATCCCTAGGTTGTAGTTACCGGGAAAGACCGGGTCCTCGTGTGTTGGCGTGGTTTCGAGGATCAATAGAAATCAGCCAGGTTGTATTCACCGTGCGCTGATCGGGTTCTCGTATGATTGGACTGCAGGCCCTCTTCGATTTGGAGGCGACCAATCAGGAGCTGAAGAGCGACCTGCGCGATCTCTTCATCAATAGCGCCAAGTACGCTTCATTTGTTGTTTTCCTTCGATTCCCTGCTTGCCCCGCTTTCCCCTGTTTACGCCTGTTTTCTTTATTCACGTTCTCGTTCAGTCTAGGGGCCTATTTCCCTCTCCCCCCCGCTCCCCAACCCCTCCTCCCCCTCCCCTCCGTGCCCCGACCCCCGCTTGTTTTCTCAAACCGTTTACGGATGAACTGTTAACGAATGCTCCTATATCCCGGTTTTCGCTTGCAAGGCGTGATCGTGCACGTGCCGTTCCGCCTGCGACGGGCTCACCCGCCTCCACTCCCCATCCCCCTATCCCCATTCCCCATCTGTGCCATTTCCGCAGGGAGATCGACGTGTCGAGCAGCCGCAAGGCCGTGATCGTGCACGTGCCGTACCGCGTGCGAAACGCTTGCCCCCGTCCCCAACCCTCATTCTAACCCGCATCCCATGCCCCTTTCTCCCGTGACCCTTCATCCCGGTTTCCTTCTCGTTCAGGGAGATCGACGTGTCGAGCAGCCGCAAGGCGGTCATCGTGCACGTGCCGTACCGTCTGCGCAAGGCGTTCCAGAAGATCCACGCGCGCCTCGTGCGGGAGCTCGAAAAGAAGTTCAGCGGCAAGGTACGGTGGATAGGGGGCGAGATGTGGTGGGGTGCGGTGGAGAGGGGCGAGGTGGGGTGAGGGGTCAGTGGAAGTATGTGAGTGGCAGGGTGCCTCGTGCGCGAGCTCGAGAAGAAGTTCAGTAGCAAGGTGCGATGGCAGGGCTGCGAGTTGCAGTTGAGAGGGGCGAGGTACGGTCGAGAGGGGTCTAGGGAGAAGAATGTTAGCGAGTTGAAGAGGGTGCGGCGGGGTCTGGCAAGGGCTGAATTGTGAGACGCGACGTGCATTGCGGGGGAGGCGCTGGATGGACTAGGCCCAGCATTTTTTCTTGGAAGAATTGGCGGGAGAGGCAGGGAAGAACGGGAGGGATGGGAGGACATGGGAGAGTGGAGAGGGTTGGGTTGGGTGTGAGCAGGAAGAGGCTTGGGTGTGTGCAGGAGGAGGCTTGGGTGTGTGCAGGAGGAGGCTTGGGTGTGTGCAGGAGGAGCCTTGAGTGTGAGAAAGAAGAGGCTTGGTGTGAGCAGGAAGAGGATTGGTGGGAGCAGGGGAGGATCTGGTGTGAAGAGGAGTGGGAAAGGATTGGTGACGCAAATTTGGAAAGTCAATGGGAGATGAGCTGATGTTTTGCCGCGCACGGGCTCCAAGGTGGTGTGGCCGCGCACGCGCACGCTGACGGCGGTTCCATCAACTTTCTGCTTTCCCTGTGCCCCCTGTTCTCCATCCCTGTTCGCCCTGTCCCTCTGTCCACCCCAGGATGTAGTGTTGGTTGCCACCCGTCGCATCCTCCCGAAGCCCCGCAAGGGCTCCAAGGTGGTGCGGCCGCGCACGCGCACGCTGACGGCGGTGCACGAGGCGATCCTGGAGGACCTCGTCTTCCCCACCGAGATCGTCGGCAAGCGCGTTCGCTTCCGATTGGACGGTTCCCGCATCATGAAGGTACGGTGTCGATATGGTAATGTCGGTGCGGTGCACTGGTGTCATCACTAGGGTCACTGGTTAGCAGCACGGCACAGCAGCGCTAGCACAGGGGGGCATACACGTGCTCTTCCGGCTGGACGGCTCGTGTATCATGAAGGTACAGTGGGGTGACAGGTGGGATGATGTGCATGCAAGCATAACTAGGCACGCTGCCTGACAGCACAGCAGCACTAGCAATAGGCCAACAGGCTGACAGCTCAGCACAGCAGGGTTGCACGGCACAGCAACAATGCGCTCGTGCACGGTGAGGGCGGTGCAGGAGGCAATACCTTCGAACCTCAACACCCACTGTCTGCTACCCATACTTGTCTGTCCCCCATACACACAGGTGTACCTGGACCCCAAGGAGCGCAACAGCACCGAGTACAAGGTGGAGACTTTCTCTGCTGCTTACAAGAAGCTCACCGGCAAGGATGTCGTCTTCGAGTTCCCCATCACCGAGGCTGCTGCCTAAGTGCCGTCTAAGTTCTGCAAGTTCTTTCATGTGCCCATGGCTGCTGCCTAAGTGACACCAAAGCGCCAGCTCACTCTTCACTTACCTCCCAGCGGTGGCAAGCAGCAGGAAGCCAAAAGTGCGCGTTTTTAGGGAGAATGTGTGTTCAATGCTGCTGCTGTCATTTGGAAGTATGTAATGCTGCTGATTGGCTCAATATTTCAAAAGCTCTGATGATTTTGCAGTACTTGTAGTGTACACTTCTCTCGTAGATATCTGTAAGGAATTTTCTCGGCATTCCTTACGGAGCCGACTACATCGCGTACAGCAACAGCCGATTGTTCGCCCGTTATTGCTAACGGAACTTCGCCGACTTCGCGCGCACTGTTTTACCAAACCTCGCACTGCTGGCATGGCCGTATCGGCCTACGCTTCGGGACTAGCCCGAGCCTCGCTCCAGCGTAGCACTAGCAAGCTCGCACGCACCGCGTTACCGTTTTGCATGTTTCGCGTATAAATGTTCGCTCATGCCTTCGCTCACATTTTGTACTCGTTTGACACCTTAGTGCAATTCTCGCTACCTCGATTCATTGCACCCGTAACACTTGGTATCAGAGCCCCTTTCTTTCGGACCGCGCATCTCCGCACACCAGGAAATCAACTTTTGATTTTTCACTCGAAG